TTTACTATTTTATCCCTAACATCTGAACCAATGCCTAGCCCTCAACAAATAATTGCTGAATAAATTAATTAATTAAATCAATTGCATTTGGAAACTTGACAACTTTGTGTCTACCATTAATTGAATGTCATACCTAGAGTGAATAAGACCAAAGTTCAATCTTTACCCAGATTTTCTGAATTTTCCAGTGGAGAAGGGCTATATACTAAACAAATAATAAATTTCTAGTCTCTGAAATTCTCCTTCGGTTCTGTCATCAATAAAATTAAAAAGTTACTGTTTAATAATAAACAGATAATCAATCACTCTTTTTTCAAAGAAATGTCCAAACTGCATTAAAAATGAGTATTAGACCAATCCAGATTGTAGTGACAAGAAATACGATTTATTTAGCATCAATTAAAGTGTCGATTTTTCTTGGTTATAATGGTGACATGTTCCCTGACAATAGTATTCTGGGACATGGCCACAAAATGGGAATCTAAGAAGCATCTATATTTAAATCTTTCTAAGCAATCATGACAAAGCACTTGAAATAAGTACACTGACCTATTTCATGTCAGCATCACACATATCTTTAAACTGTATTTTTCAACAATCATAATGGATTTGTTCCAAAATATCCTCCTTCTATGTCCAAGTCCTTTATTGAAACAAAGAAAAACATGGGGAAAATGGCTGGCTGAGAACAGCACTGCAGGTGGCCAGAGCATACAGTCAAGCATTGCACATCTCTGGGAGTGCCAGGTACACTATATTGTACATGCGTTATGATGTAAATGCACCAACAACCCCACACATGCTCTGCCTTATGGTTTTGCAGCATTCACCTCTGGGTCTGTTCAGCATTAACTGGCCTCAGTTAGAACTGAAATCAGTGATCTTTCCTCTTGGAAAAAATAATTCAAAATTCCTGAGCTAATCAATCCTAAACAATGAAAATGAACTGATTTATATTAAAATAATATCCTCAAAACATTTTACATGTAACTAAAAATAATACAGGTGTAAGAGAGACACAATTATCTTAATATGACTCTATATGATAGGTTACTTGAACCCTTGAATCCTTGTTTAGTTGGCAGTAGGTTTAAAAAGTTGAAAATTTGATACCCACATGATCTTATAGCACCCTCAAGTGGATATATATTAAATTGACAATGCTTTTCTCTTGAGAATTTGGTCTTAGATATAAAAAATAAAATGAGAAGCTGATGGAATCCCTTAAACAAAGACTACTGAATGAATATACACCAATTCTTATCAGAAGAACTCACAGTTTAAATTATTTCTTTAATAATGAGGATGGATTTTTGGCTGATCTAGCCACATTTTCCATTCAGTATTCTTTATTTGCCTCGAGTCAACTCAGAGGACTCTGAATGAGCTTTGAACAGAACAAAACTACCTACCTTAGATGGTAGCAAATCTATAATCTAAACTTCTCGCACCATGTGCTTATGAATGAAATCAAGAGTACCCATTTTCGGAAAATGGTTCAAGGATATCTTTAGGTGTTAACATAATAATAGATATTTTAAAAATATGTCCCATATATATTTACAAACTACATCCTTAAAGAACATGGTTTCAGCCTGCCCTCCCTAAGCCATATGGCATAGAGAAAGAGTACTAGACACATAGTAAAATTATGTGGCTTCTAAACTTAGTTTTTGAACAAATTATAAGCCTCCCCATATCTGTTTGTTCATCTTTTAAATAGAAGGAGCAGAGACAATAGTTGGTGGCTTGTTAATGTACTAGTTAAGATGTTTTTGGTTCCAAACCACAAATTTAGTCAATCTGACTTAAGCAACAAGAGGATTTTTTTCAAGAAAAATAAAAGGGGGAGTATGAATATATCCCTAGGTTCTTAATCAGTTCTATTCACACTTTCCTGATATACACAACCATCCTTTATTCTAGATACAAAGGAGGTGAGGTTTTGTTGAAATTGCTTATATCATATATATAGTCATAGATTATCTGTGTAAATCCTTCCCAAATGATAATATGCAAGTTTCTGAGGTCCAGATAGACTTTATCTTTTGCATTATGATGTCATTGGCAGCTGTATGTGTTATTTTGGGAAACTTGGGGGATCCAAGAAAAGCTATTTTGAGCCATGTTCTGTCCCTGCTTTATGTGACTATATTGCTTCAGCTAAGTTTTTGTGTTCTTTGCTAAATAAATCAGGCATTTCATCTCTCTCTCTCTGTATATACTCTTACAGAGGAGACAGAGGGGTCTCTTCCAACCCATCTATAACCTACCTGAAATGACATGCTTACATAATTCATACATCCATAACTAAAATACTCCTGTCTACCTGCCTTTAACACTTGCGGTCTCTAGAATGCAGCTTGTTTTTCATATCTCTACTTCTTTAATTATATTGCTCCATTTTCCTAAAGTGCACATACTTGCCTCCTCTTCTCCTCTTATTCCCATCAACCTCCACTACACCTCATCTCTCATTTTTTCTTAAAAAAGGAATCTAGGCAGAGCTTAGTGTCTACAACAATTGTCTTACCACTGTGCCCTATGTGTTTCTTCTTATGTCTGCTTCTCTATTGGACTCATGTTGCTCAAGAGTCAGGTAGGGTTTTCTTCATCTTTATATGTCCAGGTCCTGAAAAGTATTTTAAAAGGATGTACATGTGTTTATTTAGAAGTGAAATTTGACATCATAATAAAAATAGTCCCAAGACCCAGACACCAAAGATCTGACTTCTTGAGTATCCTGCCCTTTCTTCCCTCACATATATTCACTTAATTACTAATGCTGCTTAATCTAGAAAAGTTATTTAGGAAAGATTTTTTAAAAGTCAAACTAGTAAACAAAAATTATGGCAAGAAGAAAAAAAAGTGTTTTCTTTCTATCTTCACTTTGAGAACTCCCATAGGTAGGACTGGTTTCTCTGAGAAGCAAAACTAGTCCCCTCACTTTCTCTCATCACTCCCTGTGGTCCTCCCTCAAAGATCCAATGCTCTGTCCCCTTCAAAGCCAACGGGTATCTTTCCCAGCAGAAAATAAACTCTAATCCACCTGTGGGTGTAAAAGGTGTAATCCTCTCATGTGGAATTTGTATTTGGGTAATGAAGAACAAAGTTGCCTCTGGTACTTAATTACTGTTACTACTTCCATTTAAGGAAAACAATAACCGCAGATTTAAAAAATAGCCTGTGTTTTTATTACACTTGTTTGAAGGGTTTTTTCTTTGTAATAACTATGTATTAAGCAAACATTCAACAAATGTCACTCTTGATGAGTGCTGCTTACCCTCTAGGAGCAGCTACTTTCTCCTACTTTCATGGCCGTATCACAGCAATTTTAGATGGTCAAGATATGGGCCATGGTTGAATGTTAATCTGGTGTTGGAATTAGAGAAAGACCAGACATATCCCATAGTAGTGAAGGCATGAACTCAAGAATGGCCTCACAAGGTAGCATTCTCAGGGCAGGTAAATGCTACCATCTGCCATCTGGTTCTGAGATACTGAGCTCAGTCCCTCGAGAGATAAAGATCAACTTAGTAAAAGATCATCTCTACTAAAATTACGTATCTTATTTACCAGTACTTACTGGTAAATAAGTTGGTAGCAATTAATCTGCCCCGACTCCAAAAGGGCAAAAAGTAAGGAGGGTCAATAACATTCGTTAAGCACTGGAATTGTGTTCTCCATCCATATCCCCGCTCTTAGTAACTGACCTTCCCTGTCAACGATAGCACCTTCCTTCCTAAGAACAGCCATCCTCCGTAGCTACAGTCTAACGCAAATCAGTCTGTACCACTGATTAAACTTTTCTGATGAGCCCATAACAGCTTATTATCTTCTAAACTTGCATTCTTCTTTGTTGTATCTTCTCAAGTCTTATTTATGTTTACCTATTAGCCAGGATGTTTCACAAAATGGTGTAGCAGCATGCACTACATTCTGGGCTGGTCCTCTATCCAAGTGCTGAAACAGTGAAAGGCTGATTGATCTCCCCAAACACATGGAGCTGGAGTTGGGGCAGATTAATTGTTACCATTTATTTTTGTTCAAGAGGACTATACTAAATTATACATAGTTCATGGTACAGATTTTAATATATTAAAATAAAACTTGTTCTCAAAATTGAAGTTAGTCCTTCTATATGATAAATATACTCTCTCCAGTCACTCTGGTGAGGAGTCTACTAAGGCCAAGTTGAAATGCTAACTCTACCTTTTACCAGCATAAGACTGATCAATGTACTGAGATTATCTGGGCCTGTTTCCTCAATCTCTTACATGAGAGTATATGAAATACAGTGGTTAGGTTCTCCAGTCAATACATAACAGAAAAAAAAAGCCTACGTGACAACTACCTTGGAAAAATGACTTGAATTACCCATATGTATGGAATATTGACTTCAATGTACACAACACCATTCAGTAAATCTCATGGCCACTGAATTTTGAGAACCCACCTAGATAAAGGAAAAAAGAAAGCATATATCCAGGTATTAAAGCCATTCTAGTTTTAAGTTAATGCCAAAATAACTAATAGTGAGTGGGGTTATGGGTGGAGAACACAATTCCAGTGCTTAACGAATGTTACTCACCCTCCTTACTTTTGCCGTCTAGCCTACCAAGCAGCCGTTCTGGTGTGGTTACGACTGAGACATAGCCAGTGATTTTCCAGTAAGTACTTTGAGGGAAGAGCCTTTGTAACTCGTATGGAGTTCTTGCCTGTTTGCGGCACTGATGCTTACATGCGTCTCCATAAAATAAAGGATGAGTTATTTTTCCTATATTAAAGCTCGGGCTACTGCAATGTAAGAATAACACCAGAGGATTTTTTTTTTAAGTAATCTTACACACACCACCACCTAGAAGCCGTAACCAGCCCTTAACTCAGGAAATGCTTGGCGCAATCCTTCAGGCTTCCGTAGTCTCACTCTCTTTCGCGAGACCGACACAAAAGCGCCGGAGCTCCGGCACCATCGGAATACTTCCGGGAGGCCACGCTACGCGTCCTTGACGTGTGCTTCCGGCGGCTTTCACGCTGGTTGCTCAGTCTCTGGGATCACGGGGCTACTGTAGTGGGCACTGAACCGGTGGGTCACGGACCCAGGGAGCTAGAAGTCCACCTATTTGAGCCTTGCAATCTCTAACCATGGACCGGGACCTTCTGCGGCAGTCACTGAATTACCACGGGCCGTCACTGCTGTCCCTGCTTCGTACCGAACAGCTGGACAATTCGCACTTCCGGAGCCTCCTGGGTTCGGCAGCCGAGTGTGCCAGGGGCCCGCCGCAGCCGCAGCCGTTACAGGGCAGGTAATGGGACGGCAGGATTGCTGCAAGACGGGGGAGGGGACCCATCTCGGGGCTCCACTACTGCAGCCGGGCGGATGCGTCCAGAAGAAGCGGAGCTGGGGGTTTGAGCACGTTACGACGCGCTCCTGCGGAGGGCTAGATAGAATAGGGTCCGCACTTCTTCAGGGCAGTGACGGGTTCGGGCTAAACTTTTTCTCTATTGGATAGCAAAGGCAATTCTTTAGCCAGAACTCTCTTGGGCTTTCGTATGTGGTGCTGCGAGGGTCACCTTTTAACAACTACAGGCTGGCGAGTGAGGGAATCCCTGGTTAAACTTTTTCTTGGAGAATGTATGGGCTGGCGCTTAGGATGGACCCGATTGGAAGATGAAAGCAGAAGCTTGGATAAACAAAAAGGTTTTGCAAGTAAAACAGTTTTCGTAAACTTTGGTTTTGTTTTGTTTTTTTAAAGAAAAGAGAAAAGAGTCGACAACGTTGAAATACAGAAATTCATTTCCAAAAAAGCGGATCTGCTCTTTGCACTTTCGTGGAAATCAGATGCACCTGCAACATCTGAAGTTAATGAAGACAATGAAGGTGAGTTAAGTCTTAAAATATTTTCATTGCGGTTAGTTGAACAGTACTTAAGATAAAGCAGAACCCAAAACTATGGTTAGTAATTTTGTTAACTGTTTTTTCAGATTCTTATGCAGTTATGCCACCTTTAGAGCAATTCATGGAAATACCTAGTATGGATCGGAGAGAGCTGTTTTTTCGAGATATAGAGCGTGGAGATATAGTGATTGGAAGAATAAGTTCCATTCGGGAATTTGGGTTTTTCATGGTGTTGATTTGTTTAGGCAGTGGCATCATGAGAGATATATCTCACTTAGAAATCACAGTAAGTTACTTTTCTGTTATTTAATTGCTTCTGTTTTGGATAGTCATCTCAGTGCAAGAGTTAGTCTTTGCATCCAGTTGGGCTTAAGTGTATCCTACTGACAGTTTGGAGAATTAAATATTTTAATTGAAGAAAAATAGGGTAATTTTTTCTTTTTTAAAAAAATCATTAGCGGTGATAGAGTTACTCCTCCATTTCTGGGTTGTTGTTGTTTTTTGTCCCCTTGGTTGGCAGGGGTGGGGTTCTTCGTCAAATGTTAAGGAGATCTCAGTTGGTATGGTGAGATTGATTGGTAATGGGGCTTATTTTTTCCTAGCTGAACGTGTTTTTAATTATTTAGCACTTGGCATTAGATAGTTCCATATGGATAATTTAGAAACAAATTTATTTACTTATGTATTTACAGTGATCAGATGTGATTTGTACATAAGATACTTTGCCTGAGATGACTAGTCCTGATTTTGAAATACGTTACTTTAAAAGGTTTGGTATTTGCTGTCTATCAAGGCAGATGAAAAGGAAGAAAAGCAGAAGGTTATCACAGACTGGGTAACATATAAAATTTGCAGAATTCACATTTTATTGTCATTGGAATTCTTATACTTGACAAATTTTTGTTTCATTTTTAATAAGTGCAAAATATCTTTTCCCCATCATCCATATTTACAGTATATTTGGTTTCTAAATTAATTGCAAGTTTCATGAGATTTTGGGTTTTGAACTAAATCAGAAAACTTGTTTGTGTTTGAGCACAGAAATTTTTTACAATTAAAATCCTTACTTAAATTTAGGGTGCTAGTTGATTTTTTAAGATTATGTCAGCTATTAGCTGTTTATGCTGAACAACTAGGATATAAGAAGACCCTTATCCCCCAAAAATGGAATGCCCGTTGTTTTAAAATGCTTCTCATTGCAGGCTCTTTGTCCGTTAAGAGATGTGCCTTCTCACAGTAACCATGGGGACCCTTTATCATATTACCAGACTGGTGATATCATTCGAGGTGATTAATTTCATTATTAATAAAAAAAGTAACGGTTGTTAACAATTTTTGTTTTTATTTTGAAAATGTAGTTAAATAAGAATAGTGTTTGAAATAAGAATTGGGGGCTACATTATCTTTTTAATCAGCTTAGTTTTCTTATTTTTTTAAGCTGGAATCAAGGATATTGACAGATACCATGAAAAGCTTGCAGTATCTCTCTATAACTCGTCTCTTCCACCACACCTATCTGGTATTAAATTAGGTGTAATTAGTTCTGAAGAGCTTCCTTTGTACTACAGGTAATTTATCCACATTATTTCAACAGCAATTAATTGCAAAACAGTTTCTTGACTTAAAAAATAGCAAATTTTGTCCAACTTCTAACAGCAAAGTAGAATTTTAATTTCTCTTATTTCCCAGTATGCTCACTGTATTTTTTAACCCTTAAATTTTTCAAACTTGATAAAAGGAACTAAGGCGTGATATTGCCACACCTTCATGTATAAAAATAATATGAATATTTAAACTTCATGTGATAATATTATTTAACAGAAATGGGACATGCTAATTATAATCATTTTTATATTTTTATTGTGTGTGTGTTTTTGTTCATTTGTTTTTAAGGAGGAGCATTGAACTAAATAGCAATTCTTTGGAATCCTATGATAATATCATGCAGAGTTCCTTGGGATTTGTTAATCCAGGAGTAGTTGAATTCCTTCTAGGAAAACTAGGAATAGATGAATCTAATCCACCATCTTTAATGAGAGGCCTACAAAGGTATAGTAAATCAGTGTTACTCTTAATAAAGTGGTAAGATGAGTGGGGTGAGCTCAAAAGTTACATAACTGAGGGACATATTTGACTATACTGTGCCTAGTGGCAGCAGTGTGACAAAGGTGGAATGAACTAGGTGATTTGTCTCCTGAAATTAAGTCTCTTGTCAGTGATAGAAGTGTACCATGTAAACAGGGAAATATTTAGAAAATTTACAGGAATTTCATGTGTATACTAAAAATAATAATGTTTAAGAATAATAATTATTCCTCCCCTGGCTGGTGTGGCTCAGTGGATTGAATGCTGGCCTGCAAACCAAAGGGTTGCCAGTTGGATTCCCAGCCATGGCACATGCCTGTGCCACACATTGATGTTTCTTTCTCTCCCTCTTTCTCCCTCCCTTCCCTCTCTAAAAATAAAGAAATAATATCTTTTTTAAAAAAGTGTAAGTTGAAGTATATAGGACAAAAATAGCAGTGCAGAGGATTTAAACAATATGATATATATGGAAAATGATTAGTGGTTGGGTACTAAAGTATAACTAAAAAATAAAAGGATAATAGTTATTCCTGAGAGTTCAAGAGGGTGTGTGTGTGTGTGTGTGTGTGTGTGTGTGTGTATATGTATATGTACACATGGTATACAGATTTCTTTCTGGGGATTCACTTTTTCAGTGTTGAGTTTTTATTATCTGTCAGATTGAACTCTAGTTACAAAAATGTATTTATACAGTTTGACTTATTTTCTTTAATAGCAAAAATTTCTCTGAAGATGACTTTGCTTCTGCATTAAGAAAGAAACAGTCTGCATCTTGGGCTTTAAAATGGTATGAAGGTTTTGTCTTCTAACAATTACATTATCTAACCTAAAAGGTTAGGGTAAGGCAAGAATTTTCATGTGATCAAGACCAAATTTGTTTATAAATGAATTAAAGTGAGTTTTTTACATTAGCTTTCTTATAGGTATAAATGCTGTTATGTTGTAAACTTAACATACTTAAGTTTTAGCCAACATTAAATTTTGTTTTCAAAAGAAATCAGTATATCGATATCTGGATTTCATAAAATTTGTTATAAAAAATTTGCTTTAAAATTTTATCCATGCTAACATTTTGTTTGGATATTCTCTGAAATGTTTGTGATGCTTTACAAATACCTTTTTAGTGTGAAGATTGGAGTTGATTATTTTAAGGTTGGGCGCCATGTAGATGCCATGAATGAATACAATAAGGCTCTGGAAATAGACAAACAAAATGTGGAAGCTTTGGTAGCCCGTGGAGCATTGTAAGTGGATCATGGATTTTAATAATTTACAGGGTAAATGTACAAGATTTATGAATGGCACACAAGATAAATGCCTCTAATTGTTCCATATCTTTAGATATGCAACAAAAGGAAGTCTGAACAAAGCAATAGAAGATTTTGAGCTTGCATTGGAAAACTGTCCAACTCACAGGAATGCAAGAAAATACCTCTGCCAGACGCTTGTAGAAAGAGGAGGGCAGTAAGTGTCAAATTTTGTTTGATCGCAGAGATCTAATGTCCAACCAGCTACTGTAAAATCTTGAACTTAAGGAAATAGCATCTTTAACTCACTTAATTCAGAATGGTGTTAGTTTTGATCTTGGTTGAAAATGTTTTTTAAATGCGGTCCTTTAAATTGTCTAGGTTTTTTTTTGTGCTTATTACTAGGGCTCTTTTTAATTGGAGATATTTTAGTGACTTGAGTTTATTGTTCTGAATATTGGTTCTCATTACATAGAACTATAAACATAAAAGTACAAAAAATTAGGTAAATATCGTTTTCCAGGACACATACTAGAAGTTTTAATAGAGAGGAATTTCTAATTCATTTCATCATTTTGGTAGAAGAATGCCAGAAATATGAATTGAGAGCTCCTGTTAATAATGAGTAAAATTTCACTGTTATATTCAGTTTATTGCTGTACTCTATCCAGAAGAATCCACAAACTCATTAAATGGAAGATCAAATCTTTGAGAACAAACCCTGTAACTTTTGTTACTCTCCTGAAATGCTGGCATAATACCTTGCCTAGTAGTTGTACCATAAATGTTTAATGAATAATTGACTAGTCTAATTTATAAACTATTTTTGAAGAAATATATTACTTATAAATAATTTGCTAACAGCCTGATTAATCATTAAAAACCAGATCTTTTTACGATTACTTTTTTAAAAATAGAATTATCTTTTTCATGAATTTGCCTGATCATTCCAGTTTGTATGATTATACTGTATTCATGTCTTTTACTAAGTGAATGACACCACCACCTCCCAGGCCATAAATGTTGATCATCTTTGACTGGTCCTTTATTCCCTGTCCCATCTGACACAAAAGTTGTCCTACTGAAGCCATTGGGGTTTTCGTAGTTTGTTTTACAGTAATTACTTTTTCTTACTTTTTAAAAACAAAATATTTTGCAAAATCCTTTCCCTGCTCTATATCCTAATATTCTAATTCTGACTTTTCATAGCATGGACTTTTCAGTATCAACTAATAATGATCTTATCTGCAGACTAGTTGTGATTCACAGGTTATATGTTGGTATTTTCAACTTAACAGTAAATAAGCTGGGAAAATATTTCTATTGAAAAGAAAATTCTTCATAAAATACTAGGAAAAGCCAGCCTATTCAATTTTGTGCTAAAGCTCAAGATGATACTGTAATTACAGAGGATATTAGTTGATGTGTGTTCAAATGCATTAGAGTAAAATGCCAGTGCTGGACCCGCAGCGTGGCTTTAGTTACAGGAATAGAGTCCTGTTCGGTTTTTTTATTTTGGAGTTGATTTTGTTCAAGTCAAGATGTAATTGACATATTACTTTCAAGTGTACAGTAGAATTGTTTAATATCCTATGTATGTTTTGCAAAGTGATGTCACCGCAAGTCTGGTTAACATCCATCACCACACACAGTTGCAAATTATTTTCTTTATTGTGGTAAGAACTGTTAAGATTACTTTTAGCAGCTTTTAAATATACAGTACAGTATTATCAACTAAGTCACCATGCTTTATATCCCTAAGACTTACTTATTTTTAAAACTGAAAGTTTGTACTTTTTGACCATTTTCATGACCCCTTTCATTCACCACCTACCCCTGCCTCTGGGAACCACCAATTTGTTCCCTATATCTGTGAGTTTGGTTTTATTTTATTATATTTTATGTGGTTTTACATGGTCTTTTTATCAAAGAAATAGCAATTAAAAGCTTATGACCAAGTATTGTTCAATTTGGAAAATAATTAGCTAAACACAGTTTTTTCCTATTAAGTTTTCTTATAAAGCCTTTGACTTATATACTTGTTGGAGTACTTCTCTTCTGCTTTTGCAAAAAAGGCTAAATCTTCCTCTCAAATGTAGGTTAGAAGAAGAAGAAAAATTTTTAAATGCTGAAAGTTACTATAAGAAAGCTTTGGATTTGGATGGCACTTTTAAAGATGCAGAGGATGCTTTACAGAAGCTTCATAAATATATGCAGGTGATTCTTTATTTCCTCTTAGAAATTTAGTAATACTTGAAATTAGTGCCAAAACTTAACTTTCTTCTGTGGAAAACTGTCTTAGATTACTTAAGGCATTATGAAGGGTTTCTTTTTAGATAAAGATTTTTCACATTGCCTCATAATGCCTCTTTTTATTTGTTAGTACTCAAAAGTAAAAATAACCCTATGGGAAAATTCTGATTACCTAAATTTGGTATGTGAGCTTTCCTGGTGATTACAAAATTCAGTGATGTTACTGTAATTGAGCTAATTCTAAAAATCTTTTTGAGAGATATTTTAAACTGTCTTTTCCTGTAATACTGATGATGATGTTTTCTCATGCATTTTCTTCTGAATTGGACCGTTGCTGCTGTGTCTGTGACATCTGGTGCTGCTCATCCCCATCCTCACACTGGAAAATGATATCTTATGTAATCATGCGTCCAACTGGGCTGTGCTATTTTTTAAATGGTTTGTATTTGAACATGGTGATTTCCCCTCAATTCACCTTAATGGAATTTATTTAAATTTTATTTATAAAAATCTGTCTACTGTTTAAATTTTTGAATTTTTTAAAACAATTTTTACTTATTTTTTTCTTGCACTCTGGGTTATGGGTACCAATGCAATGGCTTCTTCCCCTTTTTTATGGAATACCAACTGCAATATGGTCCTCAAAACTGTTCTGGCTATTCCAATGATTAATGCCAAACACCTGTATGATTAATTTTTCTATGTTAAAAATACTTGTTTAATGCTGGATAAATGGTTATTTGGGCATACCACATTTGGTTTCTGGTCGGGGGATGGTTTTTTGAAAACTGGGTTTTATATATTATGCTATTTTTAACGTGTGGTTTTTTCCGATATCTGGGTTCTAAAAGAAATCTTTGGAATTAAGAGAAAAACAAGCTGAAAAGGAAGAAAAGCAGAAAACAAAGAAAATAGAAACAAGTGCAGAAAAGTTGCGTAAGCTTTTAAAAGAGGAGAAAAGGTAAACCATAATATTTAGTATTTTTTTAATTTAAAGCAACTACTGAGTTGAAACACAGTGCCATATGGAGGTAAAGTAAGTAAAAATATACAAAAGTATTTCAAATTATAACCAGTTACTATGAAAATTGCAGGTACCATAAACTTGTCTATGAGAGATTAAGGAAAAGGGAATTCTAAAGCTGGAAATCTTGGGTTGGGGTGAGAATTAACCTTAAGTTTAAAATACATAATGTTACTTTGTCTGTATTTTAGGGAGAAAAGTTTTAGAAATAGAGCAGTGGGTCTCAAGTGGGGGCAGTTTTGTCCCCTGGGGACTTGCTGGTTGGAGTGCTGTCTAGTGGGCAGAGGTCAGGGGTGCTGCTAGAGGTCCTGCAGTGATTTTGTGGGGCCTCCTGCCACCCTGTAGGCCAACACAGTGTTAGTAGTGCTGAGGTGGGGAGACCATCTACGCTCTAGAGTAGCCAAGTGTAAAATTTTAATTCTCTTTTATGGGTGCAGGTGGTCTTGTTTTTAAGGTAATGTTGGAAATGTCACTGTGTCTCGTAGAAGTGGATTTACTTAGAGTGACAACTGTCCACGCAAGTATTTTTCTCCAAAAGCAGTGCTTCATGGTAAAAGTGGATCTTATAATAAGATTATTACAATTGCTCATCTAAGCCACAGCTTTTATGAAATCTTTATGAGGAACAAAACAGAACTAAAATATATATGGATAATTAGGAAACATTTGTGTGCTTAACATTTGATGAATTAACTACTTTTTTAGGCTAAAGAAGAAAAGAAGGAAATCATCATCTTCTTCAAGTGTTTCTTCTGATGATGAATCAGTTTCTTCTTCATCATCATCTTCCTCTTCTGGTCATAAACGGCATAAGAAACATAAAAGGAACCGTTCAGAGTCTTCTCGAAGTTCCAAAAGGCATTCAGCTAAGGCATCCTCACATCACATAGATGAGACTAGGAAAGATGAGTACTTCCCAGTTCCAGCCAATACATCAGCATCTTTTCTTAACCAAAGACAAGAAATGGAAAAACTACTGGAAAAGCAAGATAGGGTACCATCTGAAAAGAAACAGGCAAAAGAGAAAGATAGATGTCCTGTCTCTTCCTCATCAGTTGAAATTCCGGATGATTTTGGAGGTAGGTCCGAAGATCCAAGAGATTTTTATAATACCGATAAAACTCAGGCAAGTAGTAGCAAAACAGAAAAACCATATAAATATGAAAGACATTTTTCTAGTAGAAGAGATTCCTCAGATTCCTTCTCTAAGAATCCAGAAGACAAGTTAAAAATTTATGGTTATAGAAAATGTGAAAAAGATACAGAGGGAAGAAAAGAGCACTATAGAAAATGGGAGCCAGGCTCCGTGAGGTATTCCACTTCACCAGCAAGCTCAGACCACTCTTCAAAGTCCGTTGAAAAATATAAAAAATATTACGGATCACGTGATTTCAGTAGACATGAACAAAGATACCAGTTAAGTAAAAATCATAGAGAATATGAAAGAGAGGATAATTATGAGGAGGATATTAAAACTGAGGTTCCTGAAAAAGATGAGCTAAATAGCAAAGAGCATTCAGACAGTGGAGTTAGAAAAAATTTACCTCAGAATTTACTTAATATATTTAATCAGATAGCTGCATTTGAGAAAGAAAAAGGAAATAAGCAAAAAAGTTAATATGCCAAGGGAGTCAGCACTATTATTTAAAGGCTATTAATACAAGTTTTGGGTCTTTTAGTTATAACAGTCCAGTGCAGAAATCTTCTAAAGTTATTCGTAGATACTAAAGAAAGCAAATAATTTTTAGCTATTGTCATATAGTTGTTTTAGTTGTTGGTCCCCTTTCACAGCTTGATTTGTAGGCTTTAATATATATATTTATGTATAGTATTTCTTACTTTGGTGACTTAAACTTCAAGATAATTCTCTGAGTGTTTCTTAATTGTATTATGGTATATGAGAATTCCTTGAATCGACCTTATCCTGCTGTTTGAGAAAAAATTAAATTTGTGCACTGAACATTTGGGTTGTTGTCATCAAAAATGATTTCATTCTCTTCTCTGTTAAGAGCCCCCAACTTTGAAAGATACATTTAAATATTCTTTAAGTAATACTCTATATTAATTTTTTACTAACTTTTAAAATGGTACATAGATTATCTTGTCTAATTGGCTTCTAAAGCCAAATTCAATTTAAAAAAGACTATACCAGCTTAACAAATATCTTAGGAATAAAGCATGAAAATTGAATAGGAGTCCATTTCTATTTTTCTTTATTCCTTTCTTTTTGTTTCTTCCTCTCCCCCTCCCTCTTCTCTTCCTCCTCCTACTCTCCCCCTCTCTTTCTATTTATTTACTTACCTACTTTATTGCTTAGCAGTATAGCCCTAAGAAAAAATTTTAAATATTGGCAAGACTTTAGAGACTACATTCTGGGCAAGAATGGATCAGAATAGAAAAACAGTACTTTAGCAAAAGCAGTTAGCAGTAGCAAGAAAAGCACACTATAAATCTGGTTTTCTCTAGCAAGAAAGAAAACTAGGAACTCCTAGTATTGCACATGTCCGTCCAGTTTGGAGCCCACTGGTCATGTTTTTAAATAGCCTAGAGCTGGCCTGCACTTTGGCTTTTCTTCCTTGACACCTGCTTCCCCCGATGCCTCTTCTCTCAGAGTCTGAATAAATGACTAGGCCAACAAAGGCTGGATTTATTCAGAAGAAATTCCCAGCAACTGGTGCTGAAGAAAGGATGGGTTGTATGGATCGTCCCCAAATTATTGAAAGCAATATAGTTTATTATTTGGGAGATACAGATAGGAGTGATAGGTATTGTGTTTATGGTGGCTTTTAGAATCTTTCGAATTAATGGGCCTTTAAGATTATCATTCATGATACTGGATGGATAGGTTGGGGGATAGGTGAGTATCCATCTACAGAGGTCTAAGTATGATTGAGGAGGAAGACACTTTCAGTCATTGTTTTGTCTGACTATTCTTGCCAATAGTAAAATACCAAAACTTTCGAGTATAACTGGGTATGTACTATTTGTGACCTTTGGACTTCAGTGATGGGAGCTTAATGATTTAGCTAAAGTTTTTGCAATGCAACAGGAAGAAACTGGTCAAAGACAGTCAGTAGTAGCAAGAGGAATTAGTCACTCAGACATCAGTCTTTGTACCAAGAAACTCACATTAAAAAAATTTTTTTATTGTAGTTTTTCCATTACCATTTAGTGCCCTTATACCAACTTTCCCCTCCCCACCAAAATCAACACACTGTTGTCCATGTCCATGAGTCATTTTTCCTCAATCCTTCCACCCTCTCATCTCTCCCACCCCCTTTTAGCTGTCATCCCGCTGTCCATCTATATATGGGTCAATCTCTATTTTGCTTGTTAGTTCCATTTGTTCGCTAGAGTCCACATATGAGTGAAATCATACAGTATTGGTCTTTCTCTGGCTGGGTCATGTTCTGCAGGTCCCTCTACACTGTTGCGAAGGGTAAAATTTTTTTTACAGTCAAGAAGTATTCTGTTGTGTAAATGTCCCATAGTTTTATCTATTCGTATACAGAGGGACACTTGGGCTGCTTCCATATCTTGGTGATTGTAAATAATGCTGCAGTGAACATACAGGTGGTTACATTCTTTCAAATTGGTGTTTTCGGTGCCTTCGGATATATTCCCAGAAGTGGGATTGCCTGGTCAAAAGGAAGATCCATTTTTAATTTTTTGAGGTTATCTCTATATTGGTTTTCATACTGGCTACACCAGTCTGTATTCCCATAACAGTGCAAAAGGATTGCCCTTTCTCCACACCCTCGCCAGCACTTCTTTGTTGGAGTATTGACAATAGACATTCTGACAGGTGTGAGATGGTGTATCCTTGTGGTTTTAATTTACATTCTCTGATAATTAGTGATGTTGAGCATTTTTTCATATGTCTATTGTCCATCTGTATGTCCTCTTTGAAGAATTGTCTACTCAGGTCTTTTGCCCTTTTTTTTTAATTGGGTTGTTTTTTGGTATTGAGTTTTATAAGTCCTTTATAAATTTTGTATATTAACCCTTTTTCAGATGTATTGGAGAATATGTTCTCCCATTCTTTGTGTTGTCTTTTTATTTTGTTGATGTTTTCCTTTGTTTTGCAAAAACTTTTTTAGTTTGATGTAGTCCTATTTATTTTTTTTTTGTTTCTGTTGCCTGAGGAGATATATCAGAAAAAATATTGCTATGAGCAGTGTCCAAGATTTTGCTTGCCTATGTTTTCTATGATTTTTATGCTTTCGGGTCTAACATTTAAGTCTTTGATCCATTTTTAATTTATTCTTGTGTGTGGTATAAGAAGGTCATCTAGTTTCATTTTGCTGCACATATTTGTCCAACTTCCCCAACACCATTTATTGAATAAGCTATCTTTAACCCATTGTATGTGCTTGCTTCCTCTGTGGAATAATAATTGACTATAAACAGAAAGAAACTGGTCAAAAACAATAGGTAGTATCAGGAGGAGGTAGTCACTTGGATATTCGTCTTTGCACCAAGAAATTCATCTTAAAAGAGTCCTCAGTTTCTGTGTATTGAGAGCTACACAGTGGCTCTACATAGTGTTATCACTACATAGTGGTGCGTCTAAGAGCCCTTGGCCCTTAGGAATTCCTAGTACAACTTCAGAATTTTACATACATGATTTTTACTTAATTTATTCAAGCATCACTATCAACCAGCACTGTAATTTCCCAGAGCATCTTTGTGGGTGGCTTACTGTTACATTTGGATACCAAAAACATCAGGATAGTACCTTATACAATAGCTGGTATGAACTCCATCTAGCCTGGAGCTGCTTTCCTGGGACATAGTAAACTTAAGCAGAGTACACACACCACCTCAGCAAAAAAATAGTTTGGGATGTATACTTGTCAAGAATACCTAATGATACCTTCAATTTTTTCCCTTACCATCATTATGTCTCTAGTTTATATATACCCAGGCTGTGTCCTGGTTTCCATAAGAAAGCTTTAGCTAAACCTTTGGTAACTGTTACTCCCTATAAGGAAAGAAGCACAGAGAACTAACTTTCCCAAGGTCACAGAGCTAGTAAGATACAATCCCTGTCTTCAACAGTATGTAATATTATTTTAAGTTTGAAGTAATTTACAAAGAAATATAGGCAGAAAATAACTTCCAACATGACTATCAGATTACTCAGTTTTTAGATCTTACAAAATAAAATCCCATGCATTAGAATGATATTTCAGCCAAAAACTTGTTAACCAGCTTTTTTACCCATCTTATTCATGTGACCTAGAAATACCATTGCTGGTTATTTCTGAAATTAGTAATATTTTCAAATAATGATCAAACAGATTTAATGCCACTACTACCTTTCAAAAGAGACTACAAATAACAGTTCTAAACAGTGACAATTATAAATATTTTTCCCACAGTTTGAAGGAGACAGTACGCAAGTATTTAGATTCTAATACATTTATTTGAAAACTAGTAACATTGTACTCATACTCCACAGTATTACAAGAGTTCAGTGTTGGGGACTTGTTATGAAGTATTAACTAGAATAACTAATTCTATATCCATTGGTCTACCTCTCTAAAAACTTACAGAATTCCTGTTGCAAATCAAATCATACTAGTTTTCTTTGTATTTATTAAATTGAGAAATTTTTGAAAATACATTTTTATTCTTTATGTTTGGTTGGTTGTATTTTGATAGCAAAATTTTTAATGTTTTTGATTCCTAAAGACTTTTTTTTATTGATGCATATCACATCTCTTTCCTATCACTTGTTTTCTTGGTGGAAAGGTGAGAGGTAATGCTATTTTTTGCCTAAAAATTGTTAAAATATACCAAAGAAGAAACTAACAGATTTCTTCGCCACAAGTCTGTGAAGTATATTTCTTTGAATAAAGAAAACTTAATTTCAGGATCTTCTAGGGTAAATGAGAATTTTAGTAGTGGTATAAACTCTATGAATCTTTAAGGATTTCCACCCGAAAGATTCTAAGTGAATGTAGTTGTATGGCTAGCCTGAAATAATGAAGAAGTGAAGTATTTTCTAGCATAAAAGACCAAAATGACAGGAAAAAACACCATTTTCCCTGTGCTTGTATGACATGTAGTCTTATTAAAACTAGCTATTACTGCTTTCCTTCCATGTGAAGAAGGTAGTAGGAAAAATGGTAAGAAAATTAAACATTTCTTTGGCTAAACATTTCTTCTTCAACTACTAGTTTCTACTGGTAAAACTTGTCATCTCATTTTCTAACACTATTTCAGCAAGACTCTATATTATTATACCACACCCAAAAGCATAGAGTGGAATTTTCTATTTTAAAAGTGAAATTGTTGTTTTTTGTGTTTATAGTTTGTTCAATAAAGATTAAAATGTTTACTCGCTGCCCTTTTTGCTTTTACCATTGCTGGACCTGCTGCTAGCACTAGTTGGCCTCGAAGGGCTGCCAGTTAGTGAAGAGGAGGCTGGGAAGCTCAGCTCTAAGACTTTAATTGAAGTCTGAGAAGCAGAAGTACTTGTACTCCTAGAGGAACTAGAAGAAAAAAACACAATTATAAATTTAATTCAAAAATTTGTGTTTCAATAGAGACCCCCTCATTAATAGTGAAAGATACCATAATCCCACAATTAAAGAGAGCAAAAAGTACCTAATACTAGTAGTGCTAATAAGAATTTTTTAAAGCATGACCATTAATACAACAAATTAGTTCTTTTTAAAAAAGGAAAAGGGTAATGAACATGAGTTTTAAACCAGGAAGAAAATTGTTTAACAGATGTGTCTATAAGGAAAATGTTTTCAACTCTAATTAATTTAGAGATGAAATCATTAAGCATTACAGGTTTGCAAAATTCTTTAAGCATAAAAGGTGACAAAAAGAGCATAGGAATTTGGGTGCTGGCAAAAGTAATTAAAATTATAGTTTATATAAAAAGAAAGTAATTACTGACATTGAGCATCTTTTCATATGTCTTGGCCATCTCTATGTCCTCTTTTGAGAAGTCTGTTCAGGTCCTTTGCCTATTTTTTAATTGGATTGTGGCGGGGGGTGGTGTTGATTTTAAGTTCTTTATAAATTTTGGGTATCAACCCTTTGTCAGGTGTGTCTTTGGCGAATATGTTTCACATTCAGTGAACTGTCTTTTCATTTTGTTGGTCTTTGCTGTGCAAAAACTTTAGTTTGATGTAGTCCTATTTGTTTTTCGTTTGTTTTCTTTGCCCAGAGATATATCAGAAAAAAATATTGCTATGAGAAATATCTGAGATTTTATTGCCCATATTATAGGATTTTTATGGTTTCAAGTTTTAACATTTAAGTTTTTAATCCATTTTGAGTTTATTCTTGTATGTGGTGTAAGAAGGTAGGTAGTCTAGTTTCATTTTTCTCCATGTATCCGTCCAGCTTCCCCACCACCAATTATTGAATAGACTATCTTTAACCCCTTGTATATTTTTGTCTCCTCTGTCAAATATTGACTACAAAAGGGTGGGTTTATTTCTGGGTGCTCTATTCTGTTGATGTATATGTGTTTTTCTGCCAGTACCATGCTGTTTTGATTCCTACGGCCTTGTAGTAAGGTTTGATATTAGATAGTGTGATGGATCTGGAGATCATTATGCTGCGTGAAATAAGCCAGTCAGAAAAAAACAAGTACCGTACAATCTCACTCATACACAGAATCTAATGAACAAACTGATCGAACAAGTAAAATAGAATAGAGACAGACTCATAGAGAGCAGGCTCACAGCTCCAGATGGGGAAGCTTTTGGTTAGAGACTGGGCAAAAGAAGAAAAAAAAGAACTCATGGACATGTGCGATAGCGTTTTGATGGCAGGTGGGAGAGGAGTGAGTGGAGGTAGAAGAGGGTATGGGGTAATAAGTGGTGATGGAAAAAAAGTGAGACACCTGTTTACAGAAGAAAAAAATGGGGTCATCTGAAAATGTTAGCTATGCAATTCTGAAATGCTAAGTTTAAAAACTGTATGTTTTCTGATAGTATAGGGATGGTCAAGTGACTGCCCACCATGTTTATGTAGCAAGAGTTCTTTTTACCTAAAACCCGTCTTTCAGGATATCCCTCTGTCTTTGTGAAATCCCTATATGGACTAAGACTAACTGACCACTGAATGTAGGAGATGGGGTCTTTTTATTCTATCACCAAATCACAAGAGGGTTGATTTAACATCCCTGATAATGGAATTCTGAATTAACACTAAACTGCAAAAGAACAATCCTTTTTCGTGCATTAAAGTCGCATCAATAAAATCAAATTCCAACTGTTTACACGTTTCTACATCTTAGTTGCCCTCTTACAGTTAAAAATTTCCCCCCTGCCCTCCACTCAGGGTTGATCATGCCAGATGCAACCTCCAAAATTTCACCTTGCTTTGCCCTCCCTGGTAGTCACAGAACATTCTGTGCCACAATGAAAATGGTGCACCAGACACAGGTTGGAGAGAAAGTTGCTCTGCTGGCTGATTCTGCGTCCGTGACACTGACATAGGCAGGTGGATAAGGATGAGGAGAACACAGGCAGATGCAACCACTGTGGCAATAGGGAAGTGGCTGGCTTGACTAAGGGTAGCGGTTAAGGAAATGGTTTCTGAACATTCCACTTACCTTGCTGATGACAGTGAAGTCTGTGAAGATGATCTAGAACTCTGACGACTGCCTTTAGTACTAGCCGTAGGTAGTTCTAAACCATTCTGGAAGAATATTCAATAGCAGTCGTTAGTACCACTGCATTTTAGAAAGAATATTTTTCATTAGATTTCACTTAGATGAATGCCATAAATTATTTTCATGAAGTGTTTAAGAAATTCTAGAAGGTACAGTTACTACCTGTTGAAAGTATGTATGAAGGATAATATAGATCTCAGCATTTTCTGTGACATTAACCAACATTCCATCAATGGTCTTGTGAAACTCTTTCAGTTCACGAAGGTTGATGTCTTCTTCTTCTAGTGTTTCATCTTTTGTGTCTTTCAAAAGACGGATTTCCTTGGTGAGTTTTGCACACTGTTGGTCAACAGTAGTTAGTTATTATATAACCCGTTTTTCAGAACTTAATATTAAATGGACAAAGGAGGATTTGGGCTTACCATATGGGACTCCAAAAATGTAAATATGATAGGTCAGTTTTTTTTACAATATCAATACCTGTTTAGTTACTCTCTCTAACTTTGGCTTCTGATCCTCAATTTCTTTATTCAGTTGAAGTGAATGAGCCTGCTTCTCTAATAATTTTTCTTTGACATTATTTGTTAACTGTCCTACAACTTCTGAAGTATTTTCCATGGTCTGCAGAAAATGAAGTATTAAAATATCAGAATCAAAATAAGTTTTATAACTTGCCATTTGTCAAGTATCCATTTAATTTTAATCTGTTTACTTTTGTATATATTATACATTCTATTGATACGTAATCTATATAATGGTTTTTTGGATTAAGTTTTGTATATAGTTCTAGAAAGTCTTGTTATGGTACTTGGAAAAATAACTCAAAAACTATTGAACACATGCAGTTTTCAGAAATTCACAATTTATCTGTTCCTTCAACTTTATTGGCAAAAAGAATCTAAATTTTATGTAGAGTCTGCTGCCAGGCCCCTTGTTTTGTCTTTCAGTGACGTGCTTTAGTAACTTTGTACTAGATTATTCTTATCTTTCAGTTCCTTTTTGTTTTGTGGAGTGATTTTTAAGGTGATTTTTAAGGAATAAAGTGAAAAGTACATTAAATAAAATAGGAATACACTATAAGTAACTAGCAGTGATTCATCAGTTAACAGGTGACGATCAGGAGTCCACCTTGTGCTTTCCACTGGGATTTTAACTATTTAATGCTTTAATCACTTATTTCTTCCTCATTTAAATGAGACATCTCTTACTATTTCGTTTTTTAAAAAATTGTCCTTGTACAAGATAACAAGAAAATAGACGTAATAAATAGTACCAGGTGACTTCTGTAGGGCTTATTACTAAACTAAGGCTTATAGAATTTACCTGGATGTCTTCCTGTAGCTCTCTGAGTTGTCTTTGTTTGTATCTGTACTTTTCATCAGCAGCTCTTTTCTGTTCTTCTAGTTGGATTTTTAGTTCATACTCATCACCTAGAATTTACAGAATTTTTAGTTTAAATTTTTACTGTGTAGAAAGTGGTCAGAGTCTTACATATATTAATTAAAGGTCTAACACTTTTGTCTAATGAAAGTTTAAATTCCTATGTCTATTTATTGAAAAGCAGCATGGGAGTATCTAGTAGAGCCACTGTTGTTGAGTCAACACAAAGCAGCTAACATGCTGCTCTTCTCTGCATGTTGGAAGTGAATCCCCTAAAGAAATGGTACCCTGTATCATTAGCACTAATAATGGAAATTATACCTGAGCACTTATTTTGGGGGGAGGGTGGGTTCTAACTCAGTCAAACATAACTATACAGCTTTCGTTGCATATATTCATTTACAAATGTTAACTCCTACATACTAGATGGAGTCACTTTTTTAAAAGATTGTTTGTAGTTGTTGTTGCAACTGTTCAACACTTGCAAGGTGTTTTCTAGAGCATAGATTTCTTTTTCAGCCTTGTTGATCTTAGCATCCAAACTGTCACCTTCCCTTTGAAGTTCTTCTTTTTCTTGAGCAGCCTATAAAATACAGAATAAAATGATTAAATAAAAGTATTTCTCATTGGGGAAAATGTCTGTTTTCGGGGCAGGAAATAGTTAACTCACAATAATACCAAGTTGCCTTGAGGTCCACATAAAGCACCATTTCTTCCTTTCACTTGATTCACAGTAGAAGATCAAATCCTCAAGGCCATCAAAATACAGCATATAGGACACAAAACCTATGGAAATGTAGTAACTAACCAAAGCCTACATAAAACTCTCCAACACAAATTACCAAAAAGTTAAGCAGGTATAAACTTCACTGAGAAAGGAAATAGAGTTAACTAGATAGAGGCTTCAGAGGGAGGGGGTATCAAATAAAATGTATTATTTCTGGCCTAAAAGAGGTTTGGGAACACTTTCTCGTTTTATATCTTAGAAAGGAGTAAAAGAGATGAGGCAAGGTACACCCAGGAAAGTAAAGCTTATCATTTCCAACCCAGTTAAGTGTGTGTGTGCGTGTGTTATTAAAAGTATTTCAACATGTTTTGAGTAATTAGTAATGCTAAAATTAGAGAACTTACTACAGCAGCACAGACTAAAACTGGAACAATACAGAGAAAGTTAGCATGGCATTTAGACAGGAATGACATACAAATTTGAGAAGCGTTAGATATTTTTAAAAGGAAAAATACTTCACAGTTCAACTTGAATGAAGTACTCAAGTAGTCAAAATCATGGAAACAGTACTGTGCCGGAGGGGTGTGGGGAGCTGTTGTTAAATGGGTTCGCTTTCAGTTTTACAAGGTGAAACAGTCCTGGAGGTTGGTGCTGATGATACACCACATGAATATACTTAATACCACTGAACTGCACACTTAAAATTGTTAAAAGAAATATTTTATATATATTTTATCACACTTTAATTTATTTTTAATTAGAGAAAGATAAATGTGGCTAGAAAAAAAAGGAAGTTTTGTAAATTACTGAAACCAGAAATTCCCCCGTGAGTGGACATACCCCATCTCACCGTTATCACTGCGCTGGGCTCTTGTAGAGTGGTACCCAAACAACCCCAGAGAACTCCAGTAGGGGCTACTGGGGATAGCATGCATGTGTACTTAAAAGTGCCCCAAACTCATGGTTAGTCAAAATCAGCTAATAATTTCATTTGTTAATATACTCAAATTCTAGTTGTGTGTATTTAAGCCAGAATATTGTCACTGAAAAGAGAAATATTGGTAATGTTTCACTTCTTGAAGTTTTCACTGTTTGAACTGTTTCCTTACAAAGACTAAGAGGAAACTGAAAATGGAATTTGCGAAAGACGCCAGTCCTTCATTGGTTACCGATCATATTTTTCAGTCAGGCTCTTACGAGTCAAATACTAAAAGGTACAAGGGTGGGAAAAGGGAAAACAAAGCAATGTGTGCCCCATAGACATAAACCTATTGTAGGACCAAAAAAGGAGGGCTTTTAAAATCCTAAGCCCCAACACTTCAGTATGTGACCTTATTTGGAAATGGGATCTTTGCTAATGTAAAGTTATCACGAGATCGTTAGGGTGGGCCCTAATTCCATATGACTGGTGTCCTAATAAAAATGGGGTATTTAGACAGACATTAACAGGGAGGACTGAAAAGACGGGAAAGCACCATGTGAAAATGAAGGCAGAGATCATGGGAAGGCTTCCAGAAGCCAATGAACACCAACATCACCAGCAAACCACCAGAAGCGTAAAACAGATTTTCCCTCAATAGCCTGCAGGAGGAACCAACCCTGTTGACACCTTCATCTCTGACTTCTAGCCTCCAGGACTGAGACAATGAACTTCTACAGTTTAAACTGCCTGGTTTGTAGTAATTTGTTTTGGCAGCTCTAGCAAACCAATACACGGGATCAGCAAACTGTATGTGAAAGATGAGATAATACATATTTTAGGCTTTATGAACCGTTACATCTTTGTCAAAACTACTCGTACCAAATACACTGCTGCTTAGCATAAACAGCCATAGCTAATACATAATTGGATGAGGTGTTATACTGGGTGTCTAAAAAAGCGGGCAGCATTTGGCCCAGAATTCATACTTTGTGTACCCCTGAAATACAACATGCAGGACACAGAACAGTGGTTAGCATTGTGACTAAATTTCTCTTCCTCAGTGATTATATATATAATCTCCATCAGGAAAGATCAACTTGGGGGGAATGTAGGATATAAGGAAGGGAAGGAATCTTGATCTAATTAAATTTATAACAAATCTATACCACATTCAAAAACAAAAGTGACAGTTAACTTCTAATGGCAAGTTTTAAGTTTTTTCCCCGGTGAACTGCTGAACTATTTTCAAAGAGTCAAAAATTATGCTTGTACTAATATAAAGTCAGCATGTGTCAAGGATTTTACTCAACTCATAAGGAACCAGTAAGATATTCAGGCAAGTTCAGAAGGAGAATTGAACAGATTTAATATAGAGTCAGAAATGCTGAAATAAACTTGCTTACAGATGTGAAACATACATTCTTATGGCAATAAAATATAATGCTTGCATTACCTTTCCTACAGAGTATAAGTCAATTGTACTACTACTAGCCAAAATTCATTTGCATTGTGGACAAGAATCATGCTTTTAGAATCAGTTTTCTACAAGTTAACATCTATCCCTACAGAGTTATAAAATAAATCAGTAGAAACACTGTCTAAGCTGTACCTTCCTGCAGAATCAGATAATCCTTGGAGGGTCCACAAGAAAGGCCAAGTCTGCAGTCGCCGTGCAGTGGCATCACTGCATACCCACTGAGTGCCGTTCCCAAGTTTCAGGCCATGGATAATTTTTCTCAACATAAGATACAGTGAGTTCAGTTATAAAGAAAGCTTCATTTTTACCTATCTGACACATGTGTTACATAAAAATGTCTTAAGTAATACACAACAAAAAATGTGAATAACCAGTAAGCTGTAGACCCTGGGAAGGTGAAGTGTGGTGTCAGGAAATAGAGAAGTGTAGGATAGCCTTGATTCATTTAACATACTGGCATTTATTCAGCACCTTCACTGTGAGCAAGAGGAATACTCTTTTCATAAAATGTGCCTGTTTTCCTGAGAATTGGATTATTATTACTAATCATAACTATGATAGCAAACATTGAGGGCTCATTTTGTCTCAAGCACTGTATTAAGAGCTTATATATTTTTTCTCATTCTTACAACAAAAGTAATTGTTATCCTCATTTTGCAAGTGAGGCAACTAAGGCTCCAAGCGGTTAAATAACTTACTCAGGGTCACCTACCTAGTCAGTGATAGAATCAAAATATGGACACAGATTACTCTAACACTAGTGCTCTTAGGTAACTCATGGCAGCCCTTGCTAGAGAAACTTAGCAGGACCTGCAACATCTAACTTCCCAATTCTTTACAAACTAGAGCCTACCTCTTACCCCTGGGGAACCCTCAGACCCTGGAAAGAGGAAAGTCCTGTTAATATTGGGCAGAACCCTGAGGTACTACAGGCTGATGAGCTATAAAAAGGGTTTGACAGCTGGGACTCATTTCTCATATGGGTCAAGTCGAACTTCCTGAGGCAAAGTGGCAGGGTGTCTCACTTAGCATATGTTAGGAGCACCTCAAGTACTACAGTAAGAAACTTGGCAGATCATGTGATACAAGTCAAAAGGGAGGGAACATCCCCAAGGGTGAGTCTGTAAAGGTGAAAATTGGGAGATCTGCCTGCTCCTATGCATGTATGAGACAGGAAGACTGAGTTAAAGTCACCATTTCCACTCCTCCTTCATGGTGTTTTGAATAACTTCCTTCTCTGTAAAGGAAAGCACACCTGTTCAGGGTATTTTTTACATGAAGAGAGAAATATACTCAGGAAGGGAGTCACATCCAATCCCTAACCACTTCTAAATTTTCCTTATGGGTTCCTAGGTGAAGACAACCATGAGATAGCAGGCAATTCCCAAATACCAGAAAGAATGGGACAGATTCACCTGCTTAGTTGCCTCCCACATAATATGAAGGCAAAGGGACTGCCTCTCTTCCTCTCTCAGTACCTGCCACGCCAGGACTGCAATGGAGTACGAGATTTCAGACGTGGTGTGACTGCAGGTGGTGATAAGGTCGAGGGGGTGTCTATAGTGAAGTAGAAGCTCTGAGCCTGAGGTGTTGAAGAGATGTGACGTGTCGGCTGAAGACACCCTGAGTGGTAGTGCGTCTCAGGGTAAAAGAGATTATGAATCTTGAATAAATGAGAGGCGATGACAGGGCACAAAGATGGTCAAAAAAAGTGTCAATGGGCAGTGCAGACCTCTCCGACCTCACAGACCAGAGGCATATAACACTAACAGTGCTTTACTATTTCCATTAGCAGCTCATGTTTTGTGGCCCTAGTGAAGTGCAATAGCTATGAAAGTGCTATAAAGTTTGAAATTTCATGGCAAAAAAAAATGCTATTTTGGTTGTTAATGAAGAAAGGATACTTTATCACAACAGTAAATCGATTAAAAGTACCTTTATCACATAATAGGTCTGTGTGTTCTCCTCTTCTCCTTCAGGGGGCAGCATAACAACAGTAAGAATTTCATATCTATTCTTCAGTTTATCAATTTTACTTAGCCGCTCATGAAACTCAGCACTAATATGGGAAGAAAAAGAAAACAAATACTTTTTTTAAAGGAGTATAATGTTCTTATAGGAGACATTTGTGTTTGTGTTACTACTGTATTGAGATGAAATATGTTCTCACTTTTCAGTTTTATAATTCAGTGTAAAGGCCTCAGATTTCACCCTGTTTGAAAGGTGACTAGTTAGCCTGCCACACTTTTGTGGATGCTGGATGAAGACACAAGTTTCCTGGGTCAGAGGAAAAGAGCTTCCTGTTTACATTGGTTCTCCTTGCTCCCAAATTACCATGCTGGTGCGGAGGGGCTCAAAGGAATGCTGCACAACTGAGCAACCTCAAGCTTAGGCAATCTAAATATTTTATTATAGAAAATAAGCAAGCATGCCTAACTTTTGCTCCAGAGGGAGATAATCGCTACCTCTGGATTCTGAGGCTGTTCACTATGCAAAGATCTTTTAAATGATAATCTAATTTTAATGCAAATCAAAACCACAATGAGATACCACCTCAACCCATTAGGAAGGTTACTATCAAGGAAACAAAAAATAAGGTATTAGCAAGAATGTGAAAAAGTGAAACCCCTAAGCACTGCTGGTGGGATTGTAAAATGGTGCAGCCACGATGGAAAACAAAAAATTAAAAATAGAATGACTGTATGATCTAGCAGTTGCACTTCTGGGTATATACCCAAGAGAACTGAAAGAGGTTCTCGAAGAGATGTCTGCACAGCGGTGTTCACAGCAGCATTATTCACAATAGTCAGGTGAAGGCAACCCAAATGTCCATAGACAGATGAACAGATAAACAAAACGTGGTATATACATACAATGAAATATTATTCAGCCTTGTAAATATTACATATTACATGAATGAACCTTGAGGACATTATGCTAAGTAAAATAAGCCAGTCACAAAAAAAGACAAATATTGTATAATTCCACTGATATGAGGTATCTAAAGTCGTCCAATTCATACAAACAGAAAGAGTGGTGATTACTGAGGGCTGCAGGGAGGGAAAAAGGGGGACTTATTTAATGTTATGTGCTTTTCTACAATCAAAAAAATAGTCTAGAACAGGACAGTTAGTGTCTCTCCTTGCCAGGCATGAAGAAACACGAGAAACTCATAGTTTACATTCTTAAATCTGCTGGTGAAGTTTTTCTCTTTATTCCAGTAAATTTATATTTTATGAACTCTTTTTTAACTTATTTTATAACAACACTAATAATGCCAGTATATTCATGGCAACACGGAGGCGGATGCATTTGCCTGCTACAACTGCATGAAAGTGAGCCCTCCAACCACGGTGAAAAGGAATCTTCAACCTACCAGTTTTCCCACAGCTAAAGAAAGTTGATGCTAAAACATATTAATAACAAAAGTTACAGTTTTGCTTGTTTTTAAGTAGCGCTGTTGTTTCATCAGAAAATATTTATACATCCTTTATGTGATTATAAAAGACAATGTTTGTTCCGCCAGCTTAAGATGGTTAGCTGAGCAAAATATATTTCTTTTCCTTCCTAAAATGGAAAAGAGCACAAATATATTTCTCCTTCTTCCTAAAACTGAGAAGACTAAAAGAAAAAAAAACCACATCACAGCTCTGGGAATAAGAAAGATAAAATTTTTTCGTGAATTCATGAAAAAACAGAAAACAAACTGGGTACTAGATTCTACTGACAGGCAGAACAGAGATACACACAGATTAATGCAGAAACAGGAGCCATTTTTCAGCAAAGAAGTCTGGAGGAAATCTAAACTCAGAAATAAATAAAAAAAGGAAAAGTGATCTCTGAAGCTATTATCAAGGTAATTCAGAAAAGAACTGCCCAGAGAAAGTATAAAGAAATGTTGTCAGGAATTATCTGTGATCTAATAACTGACACCCCCCCCTCCCGGCCCTGGACTACCAGAGTGCTAGCGTTGTATGTAGGAGCTGGAAGGAAAAAAAAGAGCATGATGTCATTCTAGGCCTCCACAAGACTGGAGGTTAATTAAGAAAAAAAAGGCAGTTCTATGCAGGAATGAAATAATGTGTTCACTGCCCCAAATGAGCCTCTTTAGCAACAGACTAGCCCAGAGCCTACAGGCAGCCTCCCATTTAGAGTAGAAACCTGCTGGAGGAAGAGATCTTCCTAAATGCAGAAGAAACTGATACCAGATCACTAACTCCATCACTGTGATTATTAACTAAGCAATTTTAAGTACATATAACAGAAAGCCTAGGACCATCAGACATTTATGGAAAGTAAACAGCATGAATAAAAAGAGCAAAATGAACAATGACAGAATAGACACTGAGAAACAAAGATAATGCATTGGACAGAAGAGAACTTTCAGAGTGTTCTAATTAGTATCCTCTGAAAGATGAGAGGATATTGCATCCAAAAATACCCATTAAACAAGAATGGACTAGAAGTGAAGGCCGACCTAAGAAAACCAATATCCACTAAAAATAAGCAACAAAAAGTTGAATAGCATAAGATGTGAGGAAAAAAATTAAAGAAGTAATAGCAAAGGCCCTGGCTGGTGTGGTTCAGTGGATTGGGCACGGGCCCGTGAACCAAACAAAGGGTTGCTGGTTTGATTCCCAGTCAGGGCATATGCCTGGGTTGCAGGCCAGGTCCCCAGTGGGGGCCATGGTGAGAGGTAACCACACATTGATGTTTCCCTCTCTTTCTCCCTCTCTACCCCTCTCTGAAAAGAAATATAATATTTTTTAAAGAAGTAAAAGCAAAGTATTTCCCTGACCTAAAGAAAGACTTCAAAGAAGTAATTGAAAGAGCTCACAAAGGGTCAAAAAAGAAAAATGAAAAAGATCAAACACCCAGATACATAAGGAAAACTCTCAAACCCCAAGATAAAAAGATTGTCCCATGTTTCCAGAAAGAAAACAAAAACCAGGTTCCCTACAAAATTAGATAAATTAGCCTGAAATCAAACCTCTTGTAAACAACACTATAATCTAGAAGGATATGAAACAATGCTTTCAAAGTTCAACTAATTCAAATAAGGAGTAGAACATATTTATTCTACTGTATGCTATAAACTTGCAAGGACTCAAATTTCAGAAAACAGCATAATGGAATACAAATTCAGAACAAAATCCAGAGAAATTAAATGGAAATCCAAGAAAATAGGATGACAAAGGATACACAAAAGAATATTCAACCAAGAAACAAAGTAAAATATATAGCTAGATTGAAATTATTGGGGGGCAATTGGCTGAACAGTTCAAAGCAAGTTGTAATAAAATGCCTCTTTTAAAAGTAGAGACATAACATAAAGAGCAATACCTGAAGTGATAATCAGTGATTTCAACAATGCATGAAAAATGGAGATAGGAAAGGCAGCAATAAAAAATGCTAAAAATCTTAACCTATTTTGGGAAGGGAAAAATAAAAGAGTCAAATTAATCTGCAAGCATTCACAGAAATATAGGAAGATTAAAGTTTTTAAAAGAATAACCAACAAAACAGTTAGTAATGTATGCTCCAAACAATAAAAGAGAAAAACGAAACTGAGTGAAATCAATGAAAATAATGGAAAGACAAAAATACCCACCATATGACCCATATATTCCACGTCTAGATATTTACCCAAGAGAAAAGAAACCAGATGCTCATACCATGAACACAAATGTTCATAGCAGCTTTATCTGTAATAGCCAAACACTGGAAACAATTCAAATGTTTGACACAGGTGAATGTGCAAATCAGTTGGGACTGATGCACACAGTGGAATATTATTGCTTCACAATAAAGAGCTGGGTGTCTGCCTGCCTCCTGTTTGTATACAGCTCATGGACAAGCAATGGGTTGTACATTTTAAAATGCAAAATGGTTGGAAAAGTTTTAAAAAATTATACTTGATGAAAAATGAAAATTGTATGAAATTCAAATTCCAGTGTCCGTAAAGTTTTGGAACACAGCCATCAATCAGTGCTTATTTATTTGCATATCGTCTATGCCTGCTTTTCCTCTACAATGGCAGAATTAAGTTGTTGCAACAGGGACCATATGGCCTGCAAAACCTACAACATTTAGTATCTGGCCTTTATAGAAAATTGTGTGGGATGCAGCTAAGTAATAAAGGGGATTGTTTTAGCCTTCAAATTTGAAAATTAATTAGCTAAGCATCTATCTTAAGAAGTTAGAAAAAGGAAATCAAAATAAGCCCATAAAAATAGAAGAAAAAATAATAGATGTGAGAGTAACAATTGATAAAATAGAAAATAAATTCAAAATAGGAAAAAAAATCAAGATTTGATTTTTTTAAAGAGCAATAAAATTCATTATTTGCAAGACATCCCACTCAAAAACAGATATAACTGAAATTAGGAATGAAATACTAGAAATATTACAGCTATGAAACAACTTCATCACAAACAACTTTATGGCAGTAACTTTGAAAATTAGAGGAAATGGAAAAATTTTCCTAGGGAAATATATAATTTACCAAAACTGACGCAAGAAGAAGTACAAAATCAGCAACAACAAATAAAATGAACCAACAGTTGAAAATCCTCCTCACAAGGCTCCAAGCCTCCAGTGGCTTAATTGATGAGATCTTTGAAAAAAAATCCTATTACAAACTTGTCCAGAGCACAGAAAAATAAGAAATACAGAAAAATCATCTTACAGAAATAGGCATAACTGTAATAGCCTTATAACTTGCAAGGGCTGTAGAAAAAGAGCTGTAAGCATAGATGAAAAACTACAAGAAACATTGCCCCCCAAAACCCGATGTATACAAAATACAATATGTGACAGACAAGCTGCATTTTTTCCAGAAACATAAGGTTGTTTAACTTCGAAAAATCAATCAGTACATTTAATTATATTAACTAATCGATGGAGCTATATATCAATGAATGCAGAAAAAGCATATAATAAAATTCAACATCGACTTCAGATAAGACAATATCTAGACAAAGAATGAAAATATGTGGGAGTGCCCTTAATATTATAAAGAGCAGCTCAAAAAAGTTTACCACAGTAAACTTCATACCTAATGATAAAGCAGTGAAACCTTTCCCGCTGATTCCAGGAACCAGACAAGGGCGCCTGCAGTCACCACTGCTAGTCAGCAGTGAACTGGAGGCTAGACAACAAGGGCAGTGGTGCAAGGGAAAGCAATGTTACACAGATTGAAAAGGAAGACAAAAAACTGTTATTTGCAAATGACTGAGTAAAATACATGGAAATTACCATCTAGATCAATTACTAGAATTAATATGAGTTTAAGCAAGGTTGCTGAATACTTAATATACAGGAATCAACTGTATTTTTACATACCAGCAAGATAACACTGACAGTATATTAAAAATTTTAACATGTAGACAGAATAAATCTTATAAAAGATATGCAAAATCTCTAGGGAAAATTTACTTAAATAAACAGTTATTCGGTATCCATAAGGGAAAACACGTTAATGAACCCTTACATAAACTATAGAAAAAAATCAATTCCAAGGGAATTAATGGTCTTAATGTAAAAGGAAGAATCTAAAGAATGAGGAGCTAGCCAAAGGAAAGAGAGGAAAAAGCATAGATTTATGGCTAAAATACATCCCATGTATTATAGTAAATGGCTTTTCAGATGATTAAGTAAAAGATGGACATCCAAAGTGGTAGAGGGAGGAGTCAGTTCTTCTGACATCACCCTAATCTTTTCAAAATTCATTAGCAGTATGTGAAAATTCTACTTATTACCTTATGTTTTGCCGTTCTTGATCAGCAAATCTTATTTGTGATGTAAGCATTGTTTTGTGAACCTTAATTTCTTCAGTTCGTTCCTCCATTGCTGTGTGTAATTGCTGTTTTCTTTTTTCCAGAGAAAGAACTTCTTCTGCTTTACTATGAAGCATTTCACGAGTACGTTTAACTTGAAGTTTTAAAAGATTGTCTTCTATCATTAAATCCTGTCAACATAACAACATTGTTTGATACCTAAACAAAATATTTTTCTTTATTATTGCTACATAAGTCATACTTGAAAATACAACAATTTCTAATTTGACCATTGACCAAGATAAAATAACTAGGGTTAAATTTAGATTGCTGAGTCATGACTCTGGTTTTTCTTTTCCGTTCTTTCCTTTTCATTTATTTGAAAACAAAAAAACAATTTGTGGCTATTCTAAGTCTTTTATTATAATCCAATATTAAATTCAAGTTTTGCTTTAAAAAAAGTGAAAACTTAAGATATCCTGAAAATGTATAAGTCCCTATAAATGAGCATTTTTATATTCTAGCTAAATCTCATAAAATAATGTGTATATAAATTATTTAAAGCAATTCTATCATGAGTAGAAAACTAGTAAAGATTACACAGATAATTTTCAGAATAAAAGTTCCAGAAACAAACACTCCAGAATACAAAATTTTACTATACAAGATTTTACTAGTTCAAAAATATAGTCTTTCACAGCTGCAGAAAACATTGTATCCCTACATTTCATATGCATCGAAAATAAATTCAGGATGAATGAAAAAAACAATGCAAGAGAAAAAAAACAATGTAGCTACTAGAAAGAGTAAACACTTGTTTGATTTTTAGTGTGACAAAGAACTTTCTAAGCACTGAAATTAGGGGAAAAGCACTTAAATGTTTGATGTTTTAAAAGTTTTTATTGTCAAGTATTTTAAAAAATTTAAGAGGAGGGAAGACTCCCAAGTTCATTTTATGAGGCCAGCATTATCCTAATTCCAAAACCAGATAAAGACACTACAAAAAATGAAAATTGTAGGCCAATATCCCTGATGGACATAGATGCTAAAATCCTCAACAAAATATTAGTAAACCACATACAGCAATACATCAGAAAGATCATACATCAGGATCAAGTGGGATTTACTCTGGGAATGCAAAGTTGGTACAACATTCACAAATCAATAAATGTAATATACCACATAAACAAAATGAAAGATAAGGACCACATAATCCAATCAGTAGATGCATAAAAAGCAGTGATAAAATCCAGCATCTGCTTATGATAAAAACTCTCAGTAAAGTGGGAATAGGGGGAACGCACCTAAATATTATATTTATTATATTATATTTGTAATATATGATGTATCACACCATATATTATATTTGTAAATATTATATTTATAATACATGGTATAACACACCATACGTTACAAATATATACAAATATATACAATATACATATATACAAATATAACACACCATATATTACAAACCTACTACCAGCATCGTACTCAATGGGCAAACACTATGAGTGTTCCCCTTAAGACTGGGAATAAGACAGGGATGTCCACTTTCACCTCTCATAGTACTAGAAGTCCAAACTATAGCAATCAGATAAGAAGAAGAAATAAAAGGTATCCAAATTGGAAAGAAAGAAGTTAAACTGTCTTTATTTGCAGATGACATTATACTGTACATAGAGAACTTTAAAGATGTCACCAATAAACTACTAGAACTGAGAAATAAATTCAGTAAAGTAGCAGGATACAAAAGAGATATCCAGAAATCTGTTGCATTTTTATATGCAAATAATGAACCATCACAAAGGGAAATTAAGAAAAAAAAAAGCCCCATTCACAATTGCTTCAAAAAGAATAAAATACCACCCTGGCTGATGTGACTCAGTGGATTGAGCACTGGCCTGCGAACCAAAGGGTTACTGGTTCAATACCCAGTCAGGGCACATAGCTGGATTGCAGGCCAGATCCCCCGTAGGCGGTACACAAGAGGAAACCACACACTGATGTTTCTCTCCCTCTCTTTCTCCCTTCTCCTTGCTCTAAAAATAAATAAAATCTGAAAAAAAATACCTAGGAATAAATCTAACCAAGGATGTAAAAGACCTGCACTTGGAAAATTATAAGACACTGAAGAAAGAAGTTGAGGAAGATACAAATAAGTGGAAGCACATATCATGTTCATGAATAAGAATTGATATCATTAAAATGTTCATGCCACCCAAAGCAATCTAGATTCAACACAATTCCTAGCAAGATATCAATGATGTATTTCACAGAACTAGAACAAATTTTTCAAAAAATTATATGGAACCACAAAAGGCCCCACAAAGCAATAGCCATCCTGAGAAAGAAGAACAAAGTTGGAGGAATCACACTACCTGACATCAAACTGTACTATAAGGCCATAGTAATTAAATAGCATGGTCCTGGCATAAGCAGACACCTGTATCAATGGAACAGAATAGAGAATCCAGAAATAAACTCACATCTTTGTAGTCAATTAATATTGGACAGACAAAGCAAGTACATACAATGGGCAAAAGATAATTTATTCAATAAGTGGCTTGAGGAAAATTGGATAGATATGTGCAGAAAAATGAAACCAGACTACCTTCTTAGACCACACACAAGAATAAATTCTAGAGGAATAAAAGACTTAAATGTTAGACCCAGAACCATGAAACTTCTGGAAGAAAATATAGGCAATCACATCTCAGACACTGTAACAGTATTTTTTCTGTGCTATATCTCCTTAGGCAAGGGAAACTAAAGAAAAAATTAACAAATGTAACTATATCAAACTAAAAAGTTGTTGCACAGCAAAGGAAACCATCAACAAAATAAAAAGACAACCCACTGAATGTGAGAACATATTTCTCCTATACATCTGATAAGGGGTTAGTATACACATTTATAATGAACTTAAAAATCAAGACCAAAAAAGGCAAGCAATCCGCATAAAAAGTTGGCAAAGGATCTGAATAGACACTTCTCCAAGGAGGACACACGGATGGCCAATAGACATATGAAAAGATGCTCACTGTCACTAATCATCAGAGAAATGCAAATTAAAACCACAATGAGACGTCATCTCACACCTATCAGAACGGCTCTCATCAATACATCAACAAACAACAAGTGATGATGAGGATGTGGAGAAGGTGGAACTCCTTTGCACTTCTGGTGGGAATGCAGATTGATGCAGCCACTGTGGAAAGCAGTATAGAGATACCTCAAAAAATTAAAAACGTGACTGCCTTGTGACCCAGTGATTCCACTTCTGGGAATACATTAAAAAAAACCCACTAATTTGAAAGTACATAAGCACCCCTATGTTCACTCCAATGTTATTTACAATCACCAAGATATGGAAGCAGCCCAACTGTCCATCAGTAGATCAGTAGGTAAAACAACTACGGCACCTTTACACAATAGATAACTACTTGGCCATAAAAAAAAATTTTACCCTTTGTGACAGCATGAATGGACCTAGAGAACATTATGCTAAGTGAAAGAAGCCCGTCTGAGAAAGACAAATACCATATGATTTCACTCAGATGTGGAATCTAATGAACAAACTGAACTAACAAGCAAAATAGAGACAGACTCATAGAGAGCAGGATTATAGCTATGGGGGTGGGGGTTAAGGGGTAGATGGATGGAGGAAAAAGGACTCATGGACACAGACAACAGTATGCTGGTTGCAGGGTTGAGGGAAGAATAAGGGGGATAAATGGTAGTAGAAAAAACACATTAATTGAAAAAAAGCACATTAATTCACAAAATTGAAATTTTATATACAGGATCTGGCAGAAGTAAGGCTTGCTTCAGTATGGTTGGTAGGGTACATGAATATCTCACACAAGATAAACAGCAATTTGAACATTTCACTAAAAATTTCATATGGTGTGCTTGAGTGCAATATTATTATGTTACAAAATTACATGCTCATGATTTTGTAATAAAAGATTCTGGACCTGGCTGGTGTGGCTCAGTGAATTGAGTGCCTGCCTGAAAACCAAAGAGTCACCATTCCCAGTCAGGGTACATGCCTGGGTTACAGGCCAGGGTCCCAGTAAGGGATGTATAAGAGGCAAGCACACATTGATGTTTCTCTCCCTCTCTTTCTCCCTTACCATCTGTCTAAAAATAAATAGAATCTTTTAAAAAACATTTTGTAATAAAAAAGGGCTGTTATTTGTGTCAGACCCTGTATTAAAAGACTGAATGAAAATTTATAGATAAATGGAAAAATATTGGCACTATTTATGATAACAGTTAATATTTTTACATATGAAGATCTTTTGCCAAGCAATTTAAAAATATAAACCTCCTAATGGAAATATGGGCCAAGAACATAAACTAGAAATCCAAAAAGAAAAATTATGGAACATAGTATAATCAAAATGTTTTAAACATTTTTATTTAAACATAAATATTTAAAATTTTATGTAATATTTAAACATAAAATATTTCAAAATGTCACCAATTTTTAAAATGAAGACTGAAACAGTGAGATGCCATGTTGGACCATAAAATTAACAACAGTTTTATAAACTAAAAGATCTAGCTTTGGGGTGGTGAGTAAAATAAAATGCCTACACACTGATACTGGAAGCTTTGATTTAACTGTCTCGAAGACAATTTGGCTTAAAAATGGTTTTAAGACACTGAAAATATTTATTTTTTTGAACTTTAATTATAGAGTTAGAGATTTATTTTAAGGAAATAATTGAACAACTGTGCAATGATGTATGTGCATAGAACATAATACTATTGGAATTGTCAAACACTGGAAACAAACACAAATCCAAAAAATAGGAGGTAGCTGAATAAATTATAGTGACTTCATGCAACAGACTGTAGGAAAACTCCAAAAATATTTTAAGGGTATGTAATATTTTGAAAATGTACAATATATTAATCAATTTTAAATATTATATATATAGCCAATATACTTTAAGACTCAAAAGAAATAATATACTTTTATACTGTTTATCTTGTGTACAGTAACTTCAGTGACTTCTTGTGTTCTTTATAATTTGCTATAAATTTAATATTTAAAATTTTTCCATAATTAGCAATGAAAACATGAGGTTTTTAACATTGTATAGAATAGGATTTTACTGCACCTGTTTAGAAGCTCTAACTTTATTGAGTTCTTTTTCAGATCTATCATTGAAAAGATTTAGTTCATTCATTTTGTTCATGAGAGACTGTTTTTCATCACCGTTTTTACTGTTTGACTTCTTGATAAAGTAAAGATCATTCTGTAAAAAGGAAAAAAGGTATATAAATATAATTTGAAATAACAATATTAAACATATACTATTAAACATCTTACATTAAGTTACTTGCTCCATTAAATATAATAATTAGATTTTAAAAACCTTATTCTTCATGCTCTAACATCTCTAATATAATATACATGGATATTCACATAATTTTTTTCATTTTTATCATCAACTGATGTTTGGGATTTAGTTTAAGTATATATGTTTATTGTTCAACCTGATTTTTTAGGTGATCACCATTTATGGGGAAAAATGAGAGGAGGGAGCCCAAGCTTTGGTTAAATACATGGTTCACCTCCTAGAGTTCATTGTTTGAATTCAACCCAAGTCCCAGAAACTGAAAACATTAACTGTATGAAAAAGAATATGGTCTTGGCTAACAGTGCAAGCTCTGGAATCAGACGATAACAATACCTGCTTCCTTAGGGTGTTGTGAGGAACAAAGAAGCTACGGGCAAAGAGTGTGCACAACAGTATTTGAAAGCTCATGTATCGTTCACTATTATTAAATCATATATTGCTGATCAGAAAAATGCAAGATCTAACTCCACAGGATGCATAAATGGGTCGTACATATACAAATAACAGTTTTCCAGCTTTATACCAGTTTGTAACCACCCTGAACCCAGGACAAGGTTTGTGCTCTTAGCCCCTCTGGGTACCTAAAGCAAAAACTTCCTAGTTTTAAGATCTGGCACTCTTATGTGCACTCGTTCCTCCTCTCTCTCTCCCTCCCTCCCTCTCTCTCTCTCTTTCTCCCCACCTCTCTGTCTCCCTTTTTCTTTCTCACTTTCACTCCACCCTCTTCCTTCCCTCCTCTGTCTGTCTCATTGCCTGCATGTCTCTGAAGTATCAAGACCCAGGACTGCATCAAGACAGCAAGAAGAGGAATTTTGCATAAACATGTGATTTTATAAAACTAACTTTAAGAATAAAAAAATAAAATTTAAGGGGAATTTCAACCAGAAAAATTAATTTCTGTTATGCAAAATAGGACATGGAGTGGCACGGGAGAGGGAATGAAGAATGACTTTGTAATCTGATACTGCTGTTGAGAGCAGCCTTCATTAGAAGGGTGATTCGCTTCAATATCTTTTAAAAATTCACTTGTATTTCTGTTTATCTCTCTTAAACCCAGAGTTAGGATAGGCATAGTACTAACCCACTATGTAATGGACAGAGCCCCAGGAGAGATAAAGGGGGACCAGCAGATGGTCCCACAGCAATGCAGACACAAGGGTCAAAAAACACGTTCAGGCACCAGCTCACCTTCTTCTGTTTCTGTAGTATTAGTATTCTCATACTCTGTATAATTAAAACAATACCATGTACTGGTACCCGCTAAAAAGCACTGTATTAAGATATAAATTGCTTCTAATTCTCCCAAATTCCCTAAAATAATATTAATTTTTTCCCATTTAATAGATGAGTAAACTACAGCTCAGAAAAGTTAAAACAGGAGTTGTATAACCTTAACATTCAGAACTAATTCATGCTGTTTCCAAAACATGTACTCTTTTCTATTAAACCAAGGAAACCATTACAAATATATTTCATCAGGCTACTACAAACCAAAATTTTGTCATCATAAAAAAATCTATTTTGATGTTAAAAAATTACCAACTCTCTCCTTTGTTGGCACCTAAAGGAGTTCAGGGCAATTCTTCTCACAGCCACTAGAGGACACTCATCACTAGTCCTTCCCAGCTATTTAAGAAAACATTTAAACTATTCTGAATATTCATTCATTCAAGCCCATGTTCTCACTCCTTCACTCTTACTCTTCAGTTAAACTTTAACATAGGTATTATATTAGATAGGTTCCCTGACATGGGTTTTTATATTGCCATAAATATTTAATATACCTAAATATTAAGAATAGTTTCACCTTGAGAATAATGTTTGAGACTTCCAGCCAAGATGGAGGCTTAGATAGACATCTGTGCCTCCTCTCACAACCAAAAAAAGAACAACAAATTTAAAGACAGAAAACAACCAGAACTGCCAGAAAATTGAACTGTATGGAAGTCCGACAACCAAGGAGTTAAAGAAGAAACATCCATCCAGACCTGTAGGAAGGGCAGAGGCAGGCAGCTGGGAAGAGAGGACTTGCGGCAAGGTGGCGGCTGGCGGACCGATGAGGCAGCAGATTGTGGAGCGGGCAGTCCCACATTCATGTGCTCATAAACCGGAGGAACAACTGGGAAGCAGGAGGGACTGTACAACCCAGGGTTCCAGTGCCAGGAAATAAAGCCTCAAACCTCTGATTGAACACACCTGTGGGGGTTGAGGCACCAGCAGGAGGAGAAACTCCCAGCCTCACAGGAGAGTTTACAGGAGAGCCCCACAGGGTGCTAGAACGTACACAAGCCCACCCACCCAGGAATCAGCACCAGAATGACCCACTTTGCGTGTGGGAAGCAGGGGAAGTGACTGAAATCTGTCAGAGAGCATAGAGTGTCACAACACAGCCACTGGGTTGCCCTGCCATGGTGAACACCTAAAGCTCCACCTCTTACTACTTAACAGATATGTCCAGACCAAAAATTTTTTTAAATGGCCAACCAAAAGAACAGATCAAAGTTCCAGAAAAAATACAACTAAGCAATGAAGAGATAGCCAACCTACCAGCTGCACAGTTCAAAACACTGGTAATCAGGATGTTCACAGAATGGGTTGAATTTGGTCACAAATTAGATTAAAAAATGAAGGCTACACTAAGTGAAATGAATGAAAATGCCAGGGAACCAATAGCGATTGGAAGAAAAGTGGGACTTAAATCAATGGAATGGACCAGAAGAAAGAAAGAAACATTCAACCAGAACAGAATGAAGAAACAAGAATTCCCAAAAATGAGGAGTTGCTTAGGAGCCTCCAGGACATCTTTAAATGCTGAAACATCTGAATTATAGGGGTGCCAGAAGGAGAAGAGAATAAGCAACAAATTGAAAAATTATTTGAACAAATAATAAAGAGTACTTCCCCAATCCGGCAAAGGAAATAGACTTCCAGGAAGTCCAGGAAGCTCAGAGAGTCCTAAAGTTGGACCCAAGGAGGAACACCCTAAGGCACATCATAATTACATTATTCAAGATGAAAGATAAGGTGAGAATCTTAAAAGCAGCAAGAGAAAAGGAGACAGTTACCTACAAAGTTGTTCCCATAAGACTGTCAGCTGATTTCTCAAAAGAAATCTTGCAGGCAAGAAGGGGCTGGAAAGAAGTATTCCAAGTCATGAGAGGCAAGGGCCTATATCCAATATTACTCTATCCAGAAAAGCTATCATTTAGAATGGAAGGGCAGATAAAGTGCTTCTCAGATAAGGTCAAGTTAAAGGAGTTCATCGTCACCAAGTTTTATTATATGAAATGTTAAAGGGATTTATCTAAGAAAAAGAAGATAAAAAAATATAAACAGTAAAATGACAGAAAACTCACAGTTATTAACAACCACACCTAAAACAAAAACAAAAGCAAACTCAGCAAACAACTAGAACAGGAACAGAATCACAGAAATGGAGATCATATGGAGGGTTATCAACAAGGCAGTGGGAGTGGGAGAGAGGGGGAGAAGGTACAGAGAATAAGTAGCATAGATGGTAGATAGAAAATAGACAGGGGGAGGTTAAGAATAGTATGGAAAATGAAGAAGCAAAAAAACTTATATGTATGACCCACGGACATGAACTAAAGTGGGGGAGTATGGGTGGGAGGGGGTATGCAGGACAGAGGGAAATAAAGGGAGGGGGTAATGAGACAACTGTAATAGCATAATCAATAAAATATATTTTAAAAAGAATATATTTACCTTATTAACAAAATCAAGTCATATGAAATTTGTTACTAAGTAAATATTTGAATAACAACAATAGATGACCCATAAAAGAGCATCTTCTTTTAAAGATTATTTCATACATAAAGTGTAATCAAGTTATTATGGCAGATGCATAATAGAAAACTGGGATTTATCAATGTTTTAAATCACTAACAGTATTTTGAAGTTACTTGAACCAGGGATCAAATCCTAGCTCCCCATGTACTGTACTAGCCACGTAACCATGTCAAGTTTCTTAATCTGTAAAACAAGTAATAATATCTTCCTCACAAAATATTTATAAGGATTAAATAAAATAAAATACTGAAGGAATATGATATATATAGCGTATTGTAAATGCATAATCAATGGTAATGTTACATTTTCACAATGAGGATAGAAATGTATATGTATCAGTTCATACATTTGTTATATACGTGGGTAGCTTGGCAAGCAGCTATCCAAAGTAAAGTCTTAGGAATATGTTCTCTTAAAATAGGATGACTAATGACTAGCATATCTTAAACATAAGAATGTTTTGGATAAGTTACATGAAGCTTCTTGATCTGTGTTTCCAAAAGGCCAAATGTAGATTTTTTCTCTTCCAACATCTTTTTAAGCTCAACAATTTTTGCTTCAAGAGCTTGTTTTTCTTCTGAATTAATTTCTCCCTTTAACCGTGACATTCGGCGTTCCACTTGTTGAATGTGAAAATCCTGTTACAGTTTTTAAAAATAAGTTAGTAAGGAGAAACAAACGGTGCAAACCATTTCTATAAATATAGACACAGTAAAGAGTTTCTCATGAGTTGGCCTCAGTGTTACCACACACTAAAGTCCCTTTAAACCTTCAAAAATTTAGGACAAAAATCCTCCTTACCCTAAAGGGAGAAAGAGCAACCTATTCTTCAACAACCAGGGTACAGGATAGTGACATAATAACCAATTTGAAAATATAACAAAGTCGTATAGGGAGCTATTGATCATACTACCATGATGGAGCCTCAGTAAATCCACTGGATATATGTGGACATGAATATTTTAGGGGTCATTTTTAAGGGTTACAAAAAATGATAATAGTCTTAAATTGTTAGCAAAACAAGTCTCAAAACTTCTAATGAATTATTTTTCAAATTATACTGTAGCATCTGTAATTTTGAGAAACCAAAATTGTAATAGATGAGAAGATTAAGATGTGGAGAGGGAGAACATTAAGAAATTAATGAGTCAGATCATATAAATAGAAGAAATAAGGAAAAACTGAAAAAAATACTTGTTAACCTATTAGTCTAAGGATGGGGGATGGGAAGCCTAAATCTGCACTTAGAACCAAGAACCAACACATAGTTTTTCTAGGCTTCAGGTGTCGAACTTTTTTTGTTTTACTCTGCATTCTGCGTTCAGTTGGCCCAGGTTCCTTTAAGGCGTGCTTCTCCCTCACTAGAGTTGTCATCCTCTTACTTGTTTATTTCAGATCAAGAAAAAATAGTGTTTAAGGCTCCCTCACCCTACTATTGACATAATGGGATATCTCATCTTCAATATCTATCTATCCCAAGAGTGCTTAGAAATCTTTGTTTTCTCAGAACACTGCAATATCTTATGTCACAACTATAACAAGTCGGGATGAAAGATATTCATAACAGTAACATCTACCTGACTGTACATAATTTCTTGCTGCTTCAAGGTTTCGAAATCCAGTTTATGTAACTGACGGTTGAGGTTCTTTAGAGAGTTACGGGTTCCTTCAATTTCTGATATGACAGCTCTTTCTTTTGTTGCCTCAGTTTGTAATTCTTGAACTTTCTTAAATAGCACGTCTTTCACTAAGTTCAATTGAACTCCCACTTCCTGATGATAAGGATAATAGTGATTAGTGAAGTTATAACTCCTTAAAATGTTTCAATAAACAATATAATTTAGGGGCTCCTAATGAACCTCCAACATTTTAGCCCTTGAGATATAAAGGCCTCCCCACAATTTCAACAAATCGCCAACATTTTCTGTAGTTTATTCTAGTAGACTGGAATAGTAGTTTTCTATTCCTGTATCATGTTCCTTAATCTGTTATCTTATTTCTACCCCACCTTGGATTTAGAGCTTGGCCATTCCACTGGTTTCCTTAGAAAGGAAAATATACTGGAGATACACAGCCTATAGGTTCACAAAGTTTACTGAAGTCTTAAGGGTGTTACTGGAAAGAAATCAATCACCAATCTCTACCTTCTTTAGGTCACTATCCAGTGGTGAGCAGGTAAGTGTTTAACCACCAGCTTTCCACTGGATGAGAGATTAGCAGGGAGAGGTTGATTTTAATAGTGTAAATCCTCCCACTATACCCAATTTTATGCTACTAAAATGGTTCCACTACATGTAGAGTTAGGAAGAAAAACACAGTAGTAGACCATTATGCAGCATTTCCATTTTACAGCATAATCTTAAGTAACATTAAAAGCATAGGTAGTAGTAAAATAATTTGGAAGTGATGAGTGCTGAGTATTTATTACTTTTGTGTTTAATATAATTTAGTGAATTGTGTCTATATAATTTAATGTTTAATAGTAGCTATGTTTAGCAGCTAACTTGCAAAATTCTAGAAAATCTATCGTTTCTTGTGACACACCACGGCACCACGTCATACCCCCGTGCACTTCCAGCTGCCTGGTTCCTCCTGCAGCCCTACAGGAAGTAGAAACCAGTGCCCACTCCCACTGCTCCTTTCTTAGCAGGCAGCTCTGTCTTGACCCCGAACCTTCACAACGAATGAATTCTAGGCTTCACATAAATCTACCATGACAAGATGTATTGAAAGTTATAATTTTAAAAAGTTGAAACAATTTCCCTCTGTGTTCTTATACCCAAATTAGAACACTTTCCCTTAGCAACCAATGAACATCAATATAAAGCAACAGACATCTGTGACTGGCACATTTAAAAGTTCACAAATCAAGAAATATAATCTGATATAATCAAATGAAATGCATTATTTTCATATAATAGACAATTTGCATTGGGTTTAATACCTTCTCAACGAGTGCCTAGCAGAGTTTTCAAGTCAGTGCTTAGTGGTGAGTAACAGCACACCTCAAAATATATAGGGTTGTTTTTTCCAAACAAACAAGTAAAATCCAGCAGGTACAAAAAATCAGGATTATGAATACAACCCTGCTAGAGCACATTTAATACAAATACTGCAATCTTATTTTTTAATTCATCTAATTTTTTCAGAAATGTTATTAGTTTTTCATTCTGTCACCAAAAAATCTATTTCACATGAACTTCAGTTTTTACAGATTTCTCATAAGTTCTAAAACTGACCTATCTCATATACTACAGAAACTCACGCTCTTAAAGGGAAAAAATAACTTAAAAAAATAATATTGGACTCAAATACCACCAAAGTCAAGACTGCAGCATGAGTTCATCACCTAGAAATTTTAAACATATAGCAAGACACTGTGGAAGCTGATTCCATCCAAATAGAGGTGAAACCCCCTCGAAATAAGCCACAGAGAAGGGGGACTTCGCCACCATCTCTAGCTGCCCCTCTGCTTCCCCCACAACAATAACCGCAAAACGGTTAAAAGCAAGAAGTAGTGCTGACAGTGTCAGGTCACACAAGTTACTCTGAAGTTTTTAAAGAAGAAATGGTGACCCAATCTTCTCCAGTTTCCCAGCACTGGTTTCAATGCTACCAATATACCAAGGAGATTAAGGTAGAAGGGAGGGCGTTGCTAGCAGAGTTAGGAAAGTGATAGCATTTAGGAGCCTGATTACTGATAAATTATGCCAGACTTTAAGCGATAGTAGTAGCAGATGATGAAAAAATACAGGTAGTGAATGTAGAACATTGGGAGGAATTTGATCACAAAAAAATGATAATTATATAGACATCAGTAGTAAAACAAGGGCACCTTTTCAAGGTACATTTTCAATATAAGAACATACATATATTGATGACAAGCAGGGACACGGATGCAGTAGGCATCGAGAGGGCATGGACTCTAAGGTACAGGGGCTACCCTGACGAGACAACATCAGATTTAATGCTGAAAGCAGAGCAAATGGAGAATTAGGGGCTTGAGAGAGCAGGTCACCAAGAGCCTCGGAGACCATACAAAGAGGACCAAGGATACTGATTACAAATGTGATCATACCAAAAAGCAGAGCCTCTTAAAAGACTGTCTGCTTCTCGGATCTCAAGAGTCTAACTAAGTCACTGCTGCTAAATTCAATGTGATGTCTTTTAACTGAAACTAAACTTTACCTTGACACTTTTGTCTTCCTCCTTTAGTATGTCTTCCAAACTGGTAGCTTTCTCTTCTGCTGACATAGTTTTCTCAGTTATCTCCTTTAATTTTTTTTTGGCAATCTCATTATAATTTTTAATTTTGTGTAACCTAGAGAGGGTTTATGAGGAAGAGACAGAAAACATGTCTAAAGGTATTTAACGCAAACAAATTAGAAATAGTTTGTCCAATGTTTTCTACATATAACTTGAAGGTTTCTTTTACCATAAACCTTTTTATTACCAATACGTATTTAATAAGCCATAAAAATACTGCACCAAAGCTTGTGTGATGAAAAGCCTGGGATATTTTTTAATTTAGTAACTATAATTTTATAGTTATTTAACAAAAAAATTCATTTTTCTAGATGTAGCCAAAAACTATAAAAATATTTAAATATCTCATTCTTACCTTGTTGTTTCTTCATGAATATCCTTCTTTAGTTGGGAAGTATTTTTCCTCAGAGCTTCTAAATCACTGGCACTTCTATTTACAGTGGCTTTTAAAGAATCCAGCTATTTATTAGTTAACAGACAGAAATTATAGATTTATTCTATATTTTATAAATTAACTTCATTTCCAAAAAGTTTTATTTAGAACACTTTATTTTCTAACATTCATCATTCCCATAAACATAGTAGCCATACTGTTATTAAAACATATTAACAGTTTTTTTCTTTTTGGCCTAATATTAAGTTTTAAATGACTTGTATAATACTGGCAAATTATACAGATCTACATATATGTATTTAAAAGACATTAGAGCAAAACTTTACAACATTGGATTTGACAATGATTTCTTGGATGTGACACCAAAGGCACAGGGAACAATAAAAACTAGACAAACTGGACTTTATCAAAATTAAAAACTCTATGGATCAAAAGATAGTATCAACACAGTGAAAAGGCAACCAACAGAATGGGAGAAAATTTGCAAATCACTATGTGATAAAGGATTAATATCCAGAACGTATGGAGATCTCCTAAAACTCAATGACAACAACAACAAAATAATTCAAAACTGGGCAAAAGGTCTCTCTCAATAGGCATTTCTCCAAAGATATACAAATGACCAATAAGCACAAAAAATGCTCCACATCATTAACCACGAGGAAAACACAAATCAAAACTACAATCAAATTCCACCTCACACACACCAGGGTGGCTACTATTGAAAGAAGGAAGGAAGGAGGAGAGGGAGGGAGGGAGGAATAGGAAAGGGGAAGGGAAAGGGGAAAGGAACGAGAAAAGAAAAAAGAAAACAAATATTGGTGAGGATGTGGAGAAATTAACTCTGTTGGTACGGCCACTGTGGAAAATAGTATGGCAGCTCCTCAAAATTAAAAACTACTGCATGACCCAGCAATTCTGAGGTACTACATATCCATGTCCACAGCAGCATTATTCACCATAGCTAACACATGGAAGCAACCAAAATGTCCACAGGTAGATGAACAGATAAAATGTGGTATACACATAAAATGGAATAGTATCCAGCCTTTAAAAAGGAAGGAAATTTTAACATATGCTGCAACGTGGATGAATCTTGAGGATATTATACTAAGTGAAATAAATGAAATAAGCCAGTCACAAAATACTGTATGATTCTGTCCACATACAGTACTGAGGGTGGCCAAAACCACAGAAATAAAGTAGAATGGTAGTTACCAGAGGCTGGCAGGAGTGAGAAATGTGGAGTTATTATTTGATGGGTACAGAATTTCAGTTTTACAAGACAAAAAAAGAGTTATGAAGATGGATGGTGGTGATAGTAGCCCAACATTGCGAATGTATTTAACACCAGTGAACTTAAAATGATTAAAATATAATTTGTGTGTTATGTATATTTTACCAGAATAAAAAAATTGGAGAAAAGAATGTGTTACAACATGGATGAACCTTGAAAATGTTATGTAAGTAAATGAATCCAGATATAAATCCTATATTATATAACTTCATTTATATGAAATATCTAAAATAGGCAAATCCACATGCTATAAAGTAGATTAGCAGTTGCCAGGGACTGGATGGAGAGAGGGAAGGAGTGTGATTGCTAATGGGTGCAGGGTTCTTTATAGAGACACAAAAATATTCTAAAATTAGATGGTGGTGATATTTGCACAGTTCTGTGAATATACTAAAACCACTGAATTGTATACTTTAAAGAGGTGAATTATGATATATGGGTTTATATCTCAATGAATAAAACATGAATGAATGCATGCATAAATGAATGAATAAAGAAATCCATGTATTCTTTTCTGCAATTTGCTTAAACTTTTAAATGTTTAAAAATGAGTTATTAGCAGTGACATTTAACTTAGGCAAGAAATTCATTTATTTTACTTTTTTAGGATCTTCTGTATTGTTTTCTTTGTGCAGAAGAAAAATCTTTCCTTCTTTATCAGAAATTAAAAGCATAACAACTGATAGAATAAAATGCCCTGCAATATTTCAATGTCCCACCTAAGCAATGTTAATTTCAGATAAGACACAAATTTCATAAAGATCTTTTTATTGCTAACCAAGGGGATTGCGACCTCTCCCTACGGAATAACCTAGTTATTAGCATGAATGCCACAAAAGAAGAAAAGAACAAAACAGGAGTTTTTCTTTCTCATACTCTGTTTCTTCTCTTTTAGTTTGACCACTACATTGACCTACCAGCAGACCGAAATTTATTCCTGAACAAGATGAGAAACTGAATTTAAACAAGTAGCTCCACCTAGAATTTCAGAGTTAAAACCACCACACATAACTCACTGGAAAGACACTTCAAGGTATCAGCGATATCAATACTGAGTTTCACATTTCCCATTTGTCCGTTATCTTATCATTATGATTTCCAGTCTAGACCCTTCAGGCGCCTTTTGCCTCAGCTCACTAACAAAATGTGTGATCCGCAAGCTGGGCACCGTACTGCTCCAGGGGGCCATTCACACCGCCTGTGATGTGGATGTCCCCCCTCTGATGCCTTCAGCCAGGGGCTCAATCAGAGTCCCTAAAATTTCCACAACATGAAGAAATGAAACAAAAAGAACTAAAAGGCGGTTCCTTAAAGGAAAGGCTTTGTGCTTATTTTTAGTTGACATACCTCATCCTTCAGCTGATTTCTATTAGCTTCATGATGCTGATATTCCATTCTACATTTCAAAACTTTTCGATCAGCAACAGAAATTCTTTTCTCATACTCTGCATTATTTCCAGTCTCACTTTCCAAAAATTTGATCTTTTCCTTAACCAAACTTTCTTTTTCTCTTATTTCCTGCTTTATCTTCGCTAATGCCTAGGATTTAAGAAAAAAGTTAAATATATGTTTAATATGATGAACAGAACAAAAACTAAAAAGAATTTAGTTTTATTTTTATATTATCACATTTAATATTTATTTTATCAAAACTTCTTAAGAGAATGTTTTTGAGAGAGACTATTTATATGAACTAAAACAAAATATTAATATACTACATACCAAAAATACTAAGTTCATATTTTTAAAGGTCTCTATATTTCCTTTCATCTACTTGGTACTTTACTAAAGAGAAGGAAAATATCAACTGTTTATAAATGAAAGGTGACATCTAAAAGGTATAATAACAGTGTTAAAATGAAAGGTGACATCTAAAAGGTATAATAACAGTGTTAAATATTTTTTCACATTGAAAGCAGAATTTCAGTGAACTTTTCCAAATGCTTCACAAGACCAGTTTTTTTTCTTCATGTTTTACGAGTAGCACTTTACCTATTGGCTTCAATAGGAATGGCTTCACTCGGGCTTTTTGCTGCTCTTGACTGTGCAAAATTAATAGAATATACAAACTAGTAAATGAGATGTAAACAAAGTACTATAGAAACAAAGAATAAACTCTACCCAAGAGCTATTATTAAAAGGCATTATCTAAAGGTTTAAGTTAGGTCAGGCCTAAACAGATAAACGGAAATGCATAAAGACTCCAGTGTGGTTAAAGGGCAGGGTGGGAGGGCAGGGACGGAATGGGGAGACACTGAGAGAGCGGGTGTGCAGATGAAAGGGATGAGACTGGAAAGGTAGAAGTTGGAGCCAAACAGTGAAGAAATTCAATTTTTTAATCGTCATGTTAAAGAGGGTCAGCTTTTGAGCAATGTGGGACAAAGATGATTGTACAGCTGGGGAATAAAAAGATCAATGCAATATTTTAGAGAAGAAAAATGTATCCTAAAATACATTTCTTTCAAGTTTTCCAAAATGGGGTTCTACCCAACAACTTATCCTAAAAGATGGGGTTGGGGCAGGTATGGAATCTGAAATCAGTAAGTCTTAGAAATGCTCCATATCATAGTGTACATATTAGCATATTCAATGGATATACATTTGAGATGCACAGCATTTAAAAATAATTTATTTTTAGTATTTCTGTATAATAATTAACATACTATAATTGTAACATTCTATATATCTGCTGTGTTCATTCAACCAAATGACAGGTCAAAAGTTATATATAAAATTCTAGAATTTCCTGCCTTCTATAGATTTTTCTACTACTCAATCAGATGCCTTAATATCTATGTTAATGCTCACATTATTTAACAGTGCTGCCTATTCACATTTAATTTTCCATATAGGTAATGCTTATAAGCAATATCTCAAAACTTTTATACTGGAATAAAAGCATAATAGAAAAAATATTCCTAAATAATGTAACAGTTTCTTCTGAGAAGCCAATTCCAGGATCTGTGGTCAGACACTCCTGCCAAGAAGACACTGAGCAGGCAGGTACTATTCTGCAGGAAAAGGAAGAAAAGGGTCCAGTCTCTGATCTGTCCTCCAGTGATGTGAGCTGGTCTCCCTGGCTCGCCACTGCTGACTTGCACGTCTCTCCTCAGTGCTGTGTTCAGTGCAGTCCTGTTGGTACGGAAGCTGCTTCACCACGGAAATCAGAAATGTTACATATCTGGAGCCAGTTGTTCAACACTAAGCATACCTCTACCTAAGGAGCTGCTTCTTAGCACCCTCCCTATGCTCCTACAACAGACAGCCAGGAGATATCAACCTGTAAGTAAGGAACCACTGTGAATATGACAAGTTACGTATGCTCGCAAATCAGCAGGCTGCGTCAATTCAGCTGTGGGGCTGTATGAGAATTCAGTTGTGAGAATTCAGTTGTGGATGTGCAGTCTTAGATTGGACATATTTTATTAATGCAGAGGAAGTAGTCAGGAATCACTGTTTGAAAGCAGTAAGAAGTCAAGAAAGAGTAACCAACAACAGCATTAAGAATTAAGGGGAACTTATAGTTAAGATTGGTTCTCCGTTGTCTCTCTCAAGGAGGTATATACCATTTTGTTGATAAAATTGTTGGTCACTTACAGAAATTTAAAACAACTGAATAACACACTTGCAAATAACAAGTTGCATATAACAAGTAAACTGCATCCAGATATCAAATTTCCAAGCTCACTGATCTGAGCTGCTTGCCAAATAAGTGTCTTTTCGTGGACTAGATGCAGAATGTTAATATGTCTTCTCATCTACATTCCTCCCTTCTCAATTCCTTCTCCTTCCCAAATTTCCCTAGTTTTCTCATTTTTACTCACCACTATTTGACCTTTTAAAAAATATTTTATTTATTTATTTTTAGAGAGAGGAGAAGGGAAGGAGAAAGAGAGGGAGAGAAACATCAATGTGTGGTTGCACTCCGTTCTGGGGATCTGGCCGGCAACACAGGCATGTGCCCTGATTGGGAATCGAAACAGCAATGCTTTGGTTGGCAGGCCCACGCTCAATCCACTGAGTTACACCAGCCAGGGCTATTTAACCTTTTAATGAATTCCAAAAAAATAGTTACAAATTTTTGGAAAGTAGCAAAAGATAACACTAGCTCTGCATTTAATCAGTATGGTATTCCTCCCCTTCCGAGCTTCTACCCCATCATTGGTGTCTCAGCCTCAAAAGTGAAACTTGATTGCCATTCCGGTCTCTTTCCTGACTCTCCCTCCTTCTCGTGGCTCCATAAGTCCCTTCCCCTGCACCCAACTATGTGCACCAAGAGCACACACGTTAGATCCGAGGTACCTTAAACAGCCCTGTGCAAGTAGGGCATTGATTATCCACTAGCTTTTTCTTGTTCCACATTTCAGAGATAGCAGGATTTAGTTTTTGTCATAATGTCATAAATAATACATATAAAATCACATTTCTAAATGTATATAGAGTCAGCTCTGAACAACATTTACCAAAACTACTAAGTCTACAAAAGTGACTTTCAAATAACAATGTGATTTACATTTGAAATGAGTTAAATACAAAAGAGATAAATACAGCTGAACTTTGCAAGGACCAAATAACTACTTTACCAAGGCACAGTCATCAATGTCTTGATCCCTCTTCTGCATCTGTTCTATTGTGTTTTCCCACTGTTTAATGAGTTCTTGCCTTTCGTTATGAATCTTACGAAAATCTTGGGCTGCTTTCTCCAATTCTAACTGTCAAACAGAGAGCAAATAACATTTCTGTGAATGTAAGTGCTTTTGCAAACATCGCTTTGACAATTATGAAATAAAAATCTTCACTACACCAACCTGTGCACTCAGAGTCTCTGTAAGTTCGTTGTCAAGTAATTTTTTTCTTCGATTACCTTCCAAAGTCAGTTTCTCTAACTGCAGAGTCAGTGCCTATGAGCAACATGCAAAAATAAGTTGTGGTTTGTACTGATTAACTCAAAAGCCATTAGCACATCTCACATTGAGTATTATATTATATATATATGATATCTAAAACACCTACAAAATACATGTACTTTATCTTTTAACATCAAAGTGCTGCAGTTAAAACTCAATTGTTTTTTAAAAGACTTGTAACACATGTTTAAGTATGGTAGGAAAAAAGACTAAACAATTTACCACTTAAAATAACACATTTGGTATTAAGTCTATTAGAAAGTAGCATGTTTCATAATACTAAATTATTACCAGATTTCACTACAAGTAGATTTTAAATAATGATTATAATAACATATTAAATAATTAATAGCACTAAGGTCTCAAATTAGCAAAAACTATATGTAACAGTCAAGTTATGATTTAGACCAAACAAGTTAAAATACTTATACATAGTTCAAGCATAAAACTTCTCTGAAATGCTTTTGAGAACCCTTCTCAGTCAGGATTCTTAACCTGGAGTCCAAAGATCCCTAAATGGTCAACGGGCTTCAAAGGATATAAACAACTTTCAGCAAAATTTGTAAGTATTTGTATATAATCATTTTTATAGATAGAGGATACTTGGCTTTATTAGATTCTGAAAGGAAACTCTGACCCAAAAAAAGTTTAAGAACTACTACTTTAAAATTCTAACTCTGACTTACATAAAAAGGTTAACACACTACAGATTCAGAGAAAACCTAACATTACAATTTCTAATTTCTCACCCTAATTTTATTGTCATCTCGTTGTGCGTACTTCTGAAGAGTGAGGGCATCGCTGTCTTTGTGAGCGGATTCTTCTAACCAGGCCTCCAGTGCTTGCTGGTCCCAGTTCATTTGACATTTCAAACCATCCAATTTATGAGTCAATTTAAATATGTTATTCTAATATCCAAAGAGAGGGGATGGAGAGATTACAAAACATCATTTACCATATAAACTAAAATAAAACATAGTATTTCATATTGTACAGAACTTATAAAAAAAGAAAGAAATCTTGTGCCTGTATCTGACCTCCAGATGAATATACCATAATTATATAACTATTACACTTTTATTTTACTTCTTTAGTTGTAAAATAGAGAAGAAATGATTATACAAGTTGAGAACAGTAGTTGAGCCAAAGTTTGCTTGAATGGCTTTATGGTAGCTCCCCCAAAGCAATTTCGCTTTCATTCCACCACTGCCACCCCAGGTGAATATGCAATCTTAGTAAAAATAATGCACTCGATATGCTAACTAAGGCCTAACACAAATCCCCTTCAGCTCCATTTCCAACTAGATCATTGCCTCAAAGAGCCTGCTTATACAGAAATTACAGAAGCACTTTTAATTGAAATAAATATAGCAGTTAAGAAGATAAAAATATTTCTGTACCTGTATTCATTTAATAAATCAGAGTTCATAAAAGAAAACTGATGAATATACAAATACAAATTAACAAAATATACATGTGTACCCTCTCTTTCCCTTCCTTTCTCCCTAAAATCAATAAGCATATCTTTGGTTAAGGATTACAAAAATATATATGTGTGTATGTATACATATACATGTATGTGTGCATTTCATATTCATATGCATATGTAAAGAGAAGAATCAAATTTTGGAAGAGTGCTCAAATCACATAACTACGAACTAAGGGAAAAAATAGGTACAGTAGTTTAATACTATTCACAAGCTGAGAAGTTAATATGAAAGGTAAAAATTTTGAGTAAAGAATGAAATTCAAAATTAAGTGATTTTTTGTAAATGAAGCTTTTAAAATCACTTATGATAAATTATGGCTAGTATTGTATAACAAGCAACCAACATGGCATTTTGCACATAGTAAGGCTCAGTGAGTACTTGGTAAATGAATGCTGGAAAAATAAGTGTAACATTCTGTCACTGTTCCATTCAGATCACAGCTCCATGTACCTTTTATTGTCCAAGAAAACAATATAAGTAAATGTCAGGAAACTAATGAGTGCCTTTCCCATACAGAAAACAAATTCTGTTTGTTTGGTGAGGGAAGAAGGAACAATGACCCAGAATTTTAAATGACATTTCAACACATACTTCCTTATCACTTTTCTTCTCCCGCACTGAAGCCATCTCACTTTCTAGCCGCTGGATTTCAGACTTCATTCTACTCAGTTCTCTTTCAGCAATGATCTTAAAATGCTCTTCACTTTCGATCTCATGTTCTCTTGCTTTGCAAAGAGACTGCGGAAAGACATAAAAGACAGAAAGACTTTTTAAATTTTAATATTAAAAATATTTATAATAATCCATTAGGCAAAAACATAACAGTTACCACAAAATGCTTAAATTAAGTATTATTAATTCTACTTCTCTTAAACATGCACTATAATAGACTCTTTGATTCAGTGTAGTCAGTGTTGCCTATTAGTTTTAAGAAAGTTAGTTCCTAGAATGTGCTGAGAGAAAATATTGTTGTTAGTGATTTCCAGATACTATGTTGGTCTAGAAAAATTGCAGAAGACCAAGGTTTAGCCCTGGGTGGTGTGACTCAGTGGATTGAGTGCTGGCCTGTGAATCAAAGGGTTGCGGGTTCAATTCCCAGTCAGGACACATGCCTGCATTGTGGGCCAGATCCTCAGTATGGGGCATGAGTATGGGCATGTGAAATGCACATTGATGTTTCTCTCCCTCTCTTCCCCTCTGTCTGAAAATAAATGAAATCTTAAAAAAAAAAAGAAAACCACAGCTCATATTGTCTCTATTATCCTAGTTAACTGAGGTTTGACTATAATAAAATATACCTACAAATAGTCTCTCTCAAATACCCAACTCAGTAGTTTAATAACTTGAGGAAAAGATGTTGTTTCTAGTAATTTATTAATTACTCAGTCATATCAGGATTCAAAAATCTTGAGTATTGTTTAAAAGTATATTAAATGTTTAACTTTCTAATAAGACTTGTTAAAGCATGAAATTGTTACTTATCTATACTAATTACAAATTGGCATTAAAAATGACTTTGTTCATTTTTAAGAATCATATAATTTTTCAAAGAAAGGTAGATGCACTTAAAAAGATAGTTTGAAATGGAAGTTAGTAAACTCTCCAATGCTGACGTGCTGAGCTGACCAATTTGCTGGGCATCATTAGGGAATGAGGGTCTACTAATGTGTAGACTGGCCATAAAACAGACGCTCTAATTACTCACCCTAAGTTTTAACTTGTATTATTTGTATTAATTTTTCTAAATTGCATTATATTTTCCCCAGTTATCCTAAATTGTCTCCTAAATTGAACTTAACTTTTCTTTTATCTCAGGAATGTCATTATAAATTTCAGTTCTTAAACTATGCTAAAAGACTGTGGTGCCCTAAGGCCTATGGAAGTACGTGGTGTTTGCTCCCACTCCAAATGGTCCCAGTGGGCTGGCCGTGCTGAATAAGTAAAAGCAGACAGAAACTCTATTATGTGTTATATTAGGTCTGTTTCTGCTTCAAGTCATCATTTCTCACTGCATTCCTATACCGTTTCTCAGATAATCTGCTGCCTAACATTGTATTAGACTGTTTGAATGATGATTTCTCTTTTCAAATGAATTAATTATTCCTTGAACTTAGGGGTTCTAGTGACTTCCTCAAAGACTTTTCTACCTACTTTCAAATTCAAGGTTATGTTCACAATAGTTTAGTTATGCTAAATTTTCCCATTATATCTGTAGAATAACATCACAGATGTAAATGCAATGGGAGATATCCCATGACTGCATGTGATATAATTAACATGAATGTGTCAACATTATGTACCTGTGTGAATGAGAACTCTTGCTTAACATTTTTGAGGTGAGAAGTCAAAGCATTGATTCGCTCTTCATAGTCACGCAGCTGATCTTGCAAGCACGCCTTTTCATCCTGCAGCTTTGATAACTGTCAATAACAAACACAGTGATTATCTGAAGTCTACAAAATGTTTATCATGTTAAAGGATGTGAACTCAAAAGGAAATTAAAAATTCATTTACTCTGCTTTTCAAGATATCCACTTGAACTTCAAAAATCTATTGCCTTTTCAGTTATAAAATAATGCCGTGAATTAGATATTACTGTGGAAAAGTTAGCACCATATTAAAACAGAATTGAAATATCTCTCAGATCTGCAACATTAGCAGCTTCCATAGCTAAAATGCATTTTAAAGAGAAAAAATGAGATTATGTTCCATAATTAAATGGCAAGATCTCTAACTCAAACGAGAGCATAGTAATAATAGCCAAACACAACAACAACAAAAACAGATTATAAACCATAAATTTGAAAAGTAGCTAGACACCAGGCATAATATCTCTTGCATGAACAGCTATTCAAAACCAGTAGATTTAAGGCTAAGCTTAACAGAACAGAATTAACTCTCATGTGCTTAGAACCTGTTTCTTGATGTATTTTATGTCTTTGAATGATAACACCAAATAGAAACAAAACAATGTTAATACAAAAAAACTTTAGAAAAATACAAGATAGATTCTCAGGATTATTAGAGTATGTCATCCCTCAAAGCAATATAAAAGCTCAACAAAACAAAAATATGCTTCTTTATAGTCTTGAGCTATCGTCCCATAAATGGGGCTACAGACTAGGAGATGCACAACACAATTCACTGAAGTGCATGAGAAAAATATTTGAATTTTAAACTACGGAAGAAAGAAAAAAATACTGACATACCCAATTGTTATGACCTATATTTTATTAAACTTACTACATAATATTAAATGTATTTTTGCTTTATATTTCATTATTTTCCATTTTTAATTCCCTCTGTTACTTTGTTGTCCTTTTCTTTTTAATCTATTAAAAGGAGTTCTTAGTTTCTTATTTTTCATCTTACTGATGGTTAGGAGCTGAATGTGTCACCCCCAAACTCTTACGTTGAAGCCAAAATATTCGGTGCGATAGTATCAGGGAGGGATGCCTTTGGGAGGTAAGGAGTTTTACATCAGGACATGAGGGTAGGACACTCACAATGAAACTGGTGTCCTTATAATAAGAGAAACCAATGGGGCGCTCTCTCTGCCCTGTGAAAACACAGCAAGAAGACAGACATCTACGAGCCAGGAAGCCTGCTCTCACCAGAACCCAACCATGCTGACACCCTCAGAACTGTGAGAAACAAATATCTGTTTTTTAAAATCTCTCAGTCTACAGAATTGTATCAAGCAACCCAGGCCAATTAACACACTAATTCAAAATGAAGGCACTGAAGGCTATGTTTTTTTGAAGTATGAGTTGTGCTATTTCTCATGGATGTGGGTATGAAGCAGTCTCCTTTTATAGTTTTCGAACTGGTGACTTTTCCTTTTCAGGTGTTGTTTTATATGAGTGTGATCCAGGAATATATTTCTGAGAAACTTGCCTAAGGATTTATTAGTCAGCTCAGACAGCCAAAACAAAATACCACAGACTCATGGCTTAAACAACAGTAATTTATTCTCATAGTTCTGGAAACTGGGAAGTCCAAGATCAAGATGCCAATCGGTTTGGTTGTGGTGAAATCTCCCTTCCTGATTTGCAGCCTGCCACCCAGTCTTCACACCCAGTATTGAGCTCTGCTCTCTCTTTCTCTCCTCATAAGGACATTAACCCCCATCGTGAGGACCCCACCCACATGACCTCCTCTAAACCAAATTACCTCCCAAAGGCCCCACCTGCAAATATGATCACATTAAGGTTTAGGGCTTCAACATATGTAAGGTTTGGTGGGCAGGTGGTCACAAACATTCAGTCTCTAACAACAGAGAGTCATTTTTTAAATTAACACAAATTCTATTGGTTTATAATCAGAGAATGTGACCTGCAGAATTTCTATCAATAATTTCTAAACCATATTTCAAATGGTTTAACCATTTTAACCATTTCGCAAAGTACATTAAGTAGTGGCATTAAGTGCATCACATTGTTGTACAACAATCACCACCATCTATCTCCAGAAATTTTTGATCTTCCCAAATGGAAACTATGTACCATTACACACTAAGTCTCCATTCTCCTTCCTCCCTGGATATCACTATCCTATTCTGTGTCTCTATGGACCTGAGTACTCTAACTATCGCATATAAGTGGAATGGTACACTAGTTGAACTTTTGTGTCCAGTTTATTTTACTTAGCACAGTGTCTTTAAGGTTTAGCATTCATCTTCAATGCACTAAAGTTTTCATTTTGGCAAGAACATGATCTACCTTTGTAAATGTCTTAGGGACATATTTTTAATATATATATTTTCTATTTAAAGGATATATGCTGTCTCTGTTTTTATTTTTATTTCATTATTTATATCCTTTATATTCTATTTTTGCCTATTAGAATTATCCAATTCTGAGGCATTCGATATTGAATTATCTCACTATAACTGTATTTTTGTTGAGTTTACTTGTGTTTATGTGCTGGCTGCTGTGTTGTTTGGTGCATACAGCTTTATAACTTTTATTTTCTTCATCAATTAAGACTTTTATCGTTTCATAATGAACCCCCAAAAAGCAACTATTTTTAATGAAAGCATGATTAACACCCCCAATTGATCATTTCTTACCCATAGAGTTCCATAACCTCTTTCTTACATAAAAAAGTACATGCAAGACCACCAGATATTTATTGAAAACTTACATCATCTGAGAAATATCTAGATAAGCAAACAAAAAGATCCCAGAAGAAACAGATAATTAAAGACGCAAGAGAAAAGAACTAAACACACACAAACACACACTCAGAGAGATTGGAAATGATACTGTACTCCTAAAACAAGACCATGTGGTACAATAAAGCAACAAGAAAATAACTTGAAAATTAAAGAGAGGCTTGATGTACTACCAAAATAAAAACTACATTGTAAAGATGAAAAACAACTCTACACACTTCCAGAGGTTAAAAAAAAGTAACCTAAAAAGAAATGAAATTCATTGCAGGGACTTCAGCAAAGATGGAGGCATAGGTGGATACACTGTGCCTCCTCCCACAACCAAAAGAAGGACAACCAATTTAAGAGAAAAACCAACCAGAACTGCCAGAAAATTGAACTGTATGGAAGTCTAACAACCCAGGAGTTAAAGAAGAAACATTCATCCAGACTTGTAGGAGGGGTGGAAACAGGCAGCCAGGGCAGAGAGGATTTGTGGCAAGGTGGTTGGAGGACCCGGGCAGGCAAGGCAGCAGCTCATGGACTGGGCGAGGTGGCAGCTGGCAGAGCAGACAGTCCCATATTTGCATGCGGTTAAACCAGGAGAAACAACTTGGGAGCGAGGCTGACCATGCAACCCAGGGTTCCAGTGAAAGGAAATAAAGCCTCAAAATCTCAGACTGAAAAATCCCGTGGGGGTTGAGGCAGCAGCAGGAGAAACTCCCAGCCTCACAGGAGAGCTCACTGCAGAGACCCACAGGGTCCTAGAATGTACACAAACCCACCCACCCTGGAATCAACACCAGGAGGGCCTACTTTGCTTGTGGGCAACAGAGGAAGTGACTGACAGCCTGCTGAAAGCTGAGCAAATGCCATTTTTCCCTCTCAGACCCCTCCCCCACATACAGAGTCACAGCGCAATGATGTGAGTTGCCCCACCCTGGTGAACACCTAAGGTTCAGCTCCTCACTACATAACAGACCTGGGGAGACAAAAAAAATGGCCCAAATGAAAGAACAGATCAAAGACCCAGAAAAAATACAACTAAGCAACTATGAGATAGCCAACCTATCAGATGCAAAGTTCGAAACACTGGTAATCAGGATGCTCACAGAATTGGTTGTGTGTGGTCACAAAATAGAGAAAAGAGTGAAGACTTGGAAAAGTGAATTAAAGAAAAATGCACAGGGAATCAACAGTGAAGGGAAGGAAACTGGGACTCAAATGAATGCTGTGGTCCAGAAGGAAGAAAGAAACATTCAACCAGAACAGAATGAAGAAACAAGAATTCAAAAATATGAGGAGAGTCTGAGGAACCTCCAGGACATCTTTAAATGTTCCAACATCTGAATCATAGGGGTGCTAGAAGGAGAAAAGGAACAGCAAGAAATTGAAAAAAAACTTATTTGAAATGATAATGAAGGAGAACTTTCCCAATCTGGCAAAGGAAATAGACTTCCAGGAAGTCCAGGGAGCTCAGAGAGTCCCAAAGAAGCACACGCCAAGGCACATTATAATTACATTACCCAAGATTAAAGATTAGGTGAGAATCTTAAAAGAAGAGAAAAGAAGACAGTTACCTACAAAGGAGTTCCTGTAAGACTGTCAGCTAACTTCTCAAAAGAGACCTTGCAGGCAAGAAGGGGCTGGAAAGAAGTATTCCAAGTCATGAAAGGCAAGGGCCTATATCCAAGATTGCTCTATCCAGCAAAGCTTTCATTTAAAATGGAAGGGCAGATAAAGTGCTTCCCAGATAGAGTCAAGTTAAAAGAGTTCATTATCACCAAGCCCTTATTATATGAAATGTTAAAGGGACTTAACCAAGGAAAAGAAGAAGAAACAGTCTGAATAGTTTCAAACTGTTCAAACTATGAACAGTTTGAAATGACAAAAAAACTCACAACTATCAACAACCAAACCTAAAAAAAACAAAAACTAAGGAAACAACTAGAATAGGAACGGAATCACAGAAATGGAGATCACATGGAGGGTTATCAGAGGAAAGGGGGAGGGGAAAGAATAGGGGAAAATATACATGGAAGAAGCAGCATAAATAGTAGGTACGAAATAGGGGGAAATTAAGAATAGTATGGGAAATGTAGAAGCCAAAGAATTTATATGTACCCACGGACATGAACTAGGGGTGGGGGAATGTAGGTGAGGGGGAGGGCAGAGGGGAGTGAAGGGGGGAAAATGGGGACAACTGTGATAGCATAATCAATAAATATATTTTTAAAAAGAATAAAAAGCATTCTAACATTACAATACATACTACTGGAATAGGGCAATATTTTCCAAATTCTACTAATTATTTTTAATGTGGAATTTTTTACCCAAATAACTATCAAATGTTAGAGCAAATAAAAACATTTTATTGTTTTTATTTCAACTGTTTACCTCCCATATACCCTTCTTAGGGAGACACAAGAAAGTATTCCATCAAAAAAAAGAGAATAAGCCCAAAAAGAAGAAGAAACATGACCTGGGAAATAGAGCGACAGGCCAGTTGGCGGGGAGGGGGGTGCGGGGGGAGAGAATTCCCAAGTTAACAGTTTGGACTTAGGTCTGCAGGAAAACTCTCCATATTGGAAAACATAGGACTGCAAAAGGAAGGAGCAGGAGAGAAAGTATCTTGAAGATCTGATATAAGTTTCAAGCAAGCAATGCAAGCAATCAGACTGGTGACTGAGGATGCAAGGAATTGAAAACGTAGTACAATGGGCCCTTCTTTTGAGGGTAGAACACAACCAGTCAAAGAATGAGTCCAAAAGAAATAGTGAAGAAAAGATAAACTGAGTAAAAGTGGCTACATTAAGGACAGTGAAATCATTTTAAATATAAAACTAATACTAAACACTTGCAATAAATTAAAGGCATTAATAGAATGAAAAAAATAAGCTTTGATAATAAAAAATAATAAAACCCATCTTTTAATGGGATAAAAATGTGGCAAGAAATAAAAGAGATAAGAGAGCTAATGTCTTCATTTAAAAGATGAAGGAGCAAATAGTCAACCCGTACTGTCTAAAACTGGGACAAAATTTTTTTAAAACAACAATTTAACCATTTCATTTTTCTCTTGTGTAGTTTTTCTTAATGTTAAAGAAATTTTTTAGCAATCACTATCTCTTGCAATCAAGCAATATCTGAAATTGAACAATTCCTTTTTTTCCTCTCTTAAATGTAACTAAACTTAAATTTAAATTTTTGTGTTAAAAATAGCATATATAGCCCTGGTCAGTGTGGCTCAATTGGTTGGAGCATCAGCTAGTAAATCAGATGGTCGCAGGTTTGATTACTGGTCGGGGCACATGCCTAAATTGTGGGTTTGGTCCCCAGTCTGGCGGCGCATAAGAGGCAACCCATCAATGCTTCTCTCCTTTTTCCCTCCCTTCCCCTCTCTCTAAAAACAATAATATTGTTTGTTTTGTTGACTAGGTTCCACTTATAGGTGAGATCATTTGTCTTTTACCGCCTGGCTTATTTCACTTGGAATAATGCTTTCCAGTTCCATTCATGCTGTTGCCAAGGGCAGGAGTTCCTTCTTTCTTTCCGCTGCATAGAATTCCATTGTGTAAATGTACCATAGTTTTCTGATCCACTCATTTACTGGTGGGCATTTAGGTTGCTTCCAACACTTGGGTATTGTAAATTGTGCTGCTATGAACATTAGGGTGCATAGGTTCTTTTGAATTGGTGTTTAAGGATTCTTAAGGTATAACCCCAGCTGTGGTATTGCTGGGTCAAAAGGCAGACAAACAAGCAAGCAACATATAACCAGAAACAATGAAATAAAGGACAAACAGACAATAACCAGAGGAAAGGGAGGACACAGTTAATGGGGGAAAATAAGGGGAGGTCCATCAAAGAACATGTATAAAGGACACATGGACAAAGCCAAAGGGGATAGGTTCAAGGGTGGGAGACAGGGATGGATAGGGTGGGGGGCCATGGTGGGGTGAAAATGGAGACAACTGTACTTGAACAACAATAATAATTTAAAAAAAATAATTAAAATAAAAACAATAAGCATGCCCTGGGTAAGGATAAGAAAAAAACCCAGGATGCATAGTAGTATTCCATTTTTTAAATATTCCTGATTGACTTTCAATCTATATATTGTAGACCATGATGTCTAGAATATTTGTTTATGCCATGATAGTCACTTCTAGGTCAACAGTACATACTTTTGGGAGGCAACATTTTATATTTTTTATTTTATACACTTCTATCTGAATATCTTCAATGTATAGGAGTTGCTTTTTCAATATCAGAATTTATTCAGATGAAGTAATTATGGCTCCTCATGCTGCTTCTTTTTTATTGCTCTGTAATATTTTTAAATAGCTAATACAAGTGATACGTACATAATATCCTGTGAGGCAAGTATTATGGCACTAATGCCCAAAACTAATGTTTGAATGGAACTTTAGCCTATTAATACATTAACAGGTTAAACAACCTATTAGTGGACCAATAAAAGACCTATTAATGTATAGGTTGATTACCTATAGAGCTGCATAACAACCCTATCTTCGGTTTACAGAAAATGATACAGGCTCGGTGCTGGTAAGTAGGATCTAAACCCAGGGCTGGATACTTCTTAATCTTACTATGCCTCAGTACTTAATGCTAGATCTCTTAACATTCCCAAATGTTGCCCTTCATTGAAAACAAAAACTGAAGCCATCTAAATTAAGCATGAGTAAACAGGTCAGGATATTTTGAAAAAAGAGCAATAGATTTTTATTTTCATTTTTATTGTATCTTTTCCATTACCATTTATCCCCCCATACCCTCTTCCACCTCCACTCATCAGTCCCCCACCCACAATCACCACATCATTTTCATTTTTCAGAGGACAGAAAACCTGTCCCATTCCTTAAGTAGAGTAAACATCATCTGTGCTTGGATCCTCTTCCACCCAACACGTTGTCATGTGATGGAACTTTAGACTGGCTGCCGAAGGTTTTTTCAAGTTTCCTAGCTGGGCGCAATTTTATTTTGAACAACTATTATGCACTGGTTACAAGCTGATGTAAAATATTCCCTACAACTAAAATATTTTACGATGTTCTGTGACAACTTAATCCCCCATTTGAAAAGCTGCACATTTTACATTCTTACGGGAACGTCCCTCTTAAAAACATTTCGAGTCACTTTCAACTCGAAACATCATAGGCAGAACTCAAAGAGAAATGTCACCAAAAGAGTTTTGTTTATACACATCCGCAAATAACTGTTGCTACGCAAACCATAGAAGCCCCATTGCAAAACGCGCTTAATTCTGAGGAAAGAGAAAGTGCGCGCGGGAACCAGACTTTCTTCTTCCGTCCAAGAGTCTGGAAATGAATACATGAAGGAGAAGAGGAGGAGGGAGTAAAGATTCAGGTTTTATAATCCTGAATATCAATGATCGTTTCAATACATTTGTAATGCTTAGCAAGTACAGAAAAGGGCAGACAGGTGAGGGGGAAAGTTGAGGTGGTGCCGAAGAGCGTTAAAAGAGAAGAGGTGGGACTAGGGAAGGAAAGGAGAGACGTAAAAAGAGGGGGGTATTACTGCCAATTAGAAAATGCACCTCTGCTCCCCCCCCCAAAAAGACCCCCCCCTTCTTCCCCAACCCTCTTCACCTGATCCTCACCTGATTTTCCAGTAACTTGTTCTCCTTGTTCGCAACTGGGATAGCAAACCCATCCTCCCAGTGCAGCTCTGCCAGAAATTCGCTACTCATGACGGCAAACGGTACAGGTGTAGCGAAAAGATCCTCCTTTTTGTGAGGCCCATCAGCAGCGTCCAAAGCAACCCGCCACGCCCGCAAAGCTTCTTCGTGGTTGCTAAGGGCTTTTGTTCGCGCCCTTAGTTACCAAGCAGGAAGCGCTCAAACCTGGAGGCGAAACTTCCGGTTGGGAATTCCTTCGCAGAAGCCTCGCAACCCTTTTCTAATTAAGGACCTAGGGAAGCAAAGCAATTTACTCTTCCAGGGCTTTGCAGGGGTAGCCAGGCGCCAGCATAACTTCCCCTGAAAGTGCAGCTCCGCATAGTTCCCCCGGCGCAGTCGCCAGGGGTCCACAGGTACCAGAATGGCATTGAGCTACGCGACTGCAGGATCGACGGTGGAAAATGAGAGATACCGAAAATAATAACCGGGGCTTTCTTTGCAAGTGGTGTCTGTTGAGTTGAGTTTCATCCATAGATGAAATCTCGCAGGCTGAAAAAGACTTGTGTTTTGAAGCAGAATTCTATTCCCAGAATCATTGCTGGGAGTTGTGATCTGCTTTAATCTAACGCTGTTCCTTACCTGCTTCCCTGGAGTGTCCTCGCTGGCCGTAGAGATGGCAAATTTATAGCGAAGAGTTTGTTGGTTTTCCTGCGCCACTCTATACTTTTGTTTTTCCTTACGGTTTTGTTTGTTAACATTTACAGATCTTTAATTTTGCATAAAAACCTGTATTTCTTCCTAATCTCAAAAAAGGCTAGGAAACACAGAGCCCACAATATCTGCTGAAGAGGCGCCCCCTTTAGACTGCAAGGGCGATTTAAATTACCCGCTTGGTTGGCACTCAGGCATTTGAGTTTATAGCCTCTGTTGTGTATAACACCTCAGAACTGGAAAGGACAGCACAGTCAACTAATGTAATCCTTTCATTTTTAAAAATAAATAAACTGAGGTTCTCCAAGAGGAAGTCATTAAAGTAGATATTCTTGGCTGGAATACCCCCTACCACTGCAACGTGAGCATAAATTAATTTTGCGTATTCAGTAAACTGTTATGTGTGTGTGTGGGGCAGATGCCCTTTTGAATTTTATTTCACTTTGTATTTTATTCATCGTCTTGACTTAGCATTCATATTTTGCCATGTTACCTTTCTCTCTATCTTTTGGTGAAGTATTTAAAGTAAATCACAAATATCATGACATTTCACCCCTAATAACGAGCATGCATCACTGTTTAAGGTTTTCTAACATAAATATAGTATTACTATCACATCTGGCAAAAATACTAACAAGATTAAAATTCTTCAATATCATCTAATAACCATTTCATATTCATATTTCCTCAATTATCCTGAGAATCTTTTTACTGTTGATTTGTAACTGTACTGTTGAAACTCTCTTGTAGTAGTTTTGTCTTTGTGCTTACATGGTTTTCCATATATTTAATCTTATGAATTTAGAAATGTCTTCAAAGACTAGAATTAGCAAGGCATTTTTATTGCTACAATACCTAAATTCCCAAGGTGGTGGGGGGAGAAAGACTCAGCTTATAGAGGGAATTTGACCTGTGTGGAATAATGGCATTTTAGATCTTCAATAACCTTATGGAAGATCATCTTTTATTTTATAAGAGTTTAGTCATTCCTTCTAATGAAAATGTTAGTATTCAGTTCCTCGTGTGAACACCAAGGCAGCTGGCTTGGCCTGTACAGACCTCAATGTCAGCCCTAGCTGTCAAAGGCATGACTGCAGCTGTTTTTGCTGTGGGCCCTCTAGGCCCCAAAGACCTAAGAGTCTGGCAGCCAACTCCCCACAAAGAGTCCTATCTCCCATATCTCAAGGACTCTATTTCCTGAGTTTCAGGATGACAGTTACACAATGTTGAATTTTAGACAAAATTTCTATGCATTCTCCAAATTCTACGTTTCTTTCTTAAAACAATAGTCCTGCTTCTCCACTTTATCACCATAGCTTTCTATATCAATGTCCCACTTATAATTTTACAGCTTCTAGATACCAATTCTATTTGAATTTATTTTTATCTAGATTTGGAAATAAAACCCAAAGTTTTACAACTTTGTCGCTGACCATGAGATATTCAATTTAATCCCAAAATGCTCCGGTAGATGTTAGCCTTCCACTGACTTATTCTCAAGTAGATAACCTTATGCAAATCAGGTTGTTCAGGCTAAAACATAAAGAGATCTTTGTTCTGCAAAAACAATGTGATTTTAATTGAAATATATATACATATGTACATCTATGAAAGAAAAGGTAGCCTTCACTTCTATGCCAATCTCATTTGCAAGAGGCTGTCGCTGTTTTGTGTTTCTGCTACCAGAATATTTTAAATGAAGCTATAACTATATACTATTAATATATATAACTATATATATTAACTTTCCTATAGAAATGGAGTCATATTACAAATATTCTTTTGCCAATTTATTTTCCACTTAACAATAGTGGCTATGTTTCCATGTCAGTACATTAGATCTTTGGTCTTTCACTAGCAGCTTAAAATCCAGTATTATTAACTTTGTAAACAATGCTGCAAGGAACGTATTTATAGTACTGAATTAATCATTTCTAGTGTATACTTATCTTCACATTGTAATATCTCTGAATATCACCTTTCCAATCTGTGGTATCTTAGGTTTGATGAATAAGATATCATCTTACACACTTATATATGCATTTCTGCTGAACATATTCTAGAAGTCAAATTAATGGAAAAAATGTCTAAACAATTTTATACATACCACTAAATTATCCTTCAAGACATCTTTACCAACAGAATATTATAGTATCTTTGCATATTCTGGAGATTATGAAGCATTAAATATTTTACAACCCAAAAATAAAAATGATATTTCTTTGTTGTGTATTAACAATTTTATAATTATGAGTGAGATTTAGCATCATCTTATTCTGCTAAGAATTCCTTTATCATATCCTTTGTTCATTTTTTCCCCATTAGGTGGTTTCTTCTTATTGAATTATTGCAGTACTTTATATGTGATAGATAGTATTCCTTCTCTGTGCATGTGTATGTATAATATTTTTACCCCAATCTGGGTTGTTTTTTGGTTTCTTCAACTTGGTTTTTAATACATTCTGCCATCCACACCTGGGAAACTGCTCTTGTTGTCCTTAGTGTGCTTCATAGTCCAATGAATATGTTCATCATCAATCAACTCACCCAATCTATGAGCTGCATTCAGTTCAGCTCTTCCTTCCCTATTAAAACATGTCATTCTCTTGGCTTTTATGACTCTTTCTCTGTCAGTTTCCCATTAAACTTTTCAATCTCCTTTGCTGCTTTCTCTTATCCTGGTTGGTCTTCTAATATTGCTGTTCCTCAAGACCCAAAGCTGGTCCCTCTCTCTACTCTTCTTTTCACAGTTGCTTCCTCAGTATCATATTTGTTTTCACTGCTTTAAATCCTATGGCTGTTATTTTTTAATGGCCCCTGTTAATACTTCTCTAGCCTAGGTGTCTCTTCTGTACGCCAACCTTGTATCCAACTGCCTACCCGACAATAGGACAATTCCATTGAAAAAGTTTCTAGATATCTCTTCCCTGGCACTCTATCTCAGCTTTAAAGATAGTGACTGCCCCTTTTATCTGCTATTTCTACGTTCTTTAGAGTTTTCTTTATTTCTTAACAGCCAATCCCTTATTACTCTAACCCTCTGTTACAGTTAACAATTATTTATATTAAACTTTCCCTTTTAAATTATCACAGGGTTTCTCTCTCCTGTGTGGACTCAGACTGATCCAAGTCTATACTTTTTTATGTCATGCTGTTTTTCCCTCAGCTTAATGTTTTTGATATTCACTCATACTGTGGTATGTATCAATGGTTTATGTATTTTTATTACTGAATACTATTCTCTTCCATAGATATAACACACTTTGTTTACATACTCCCTTAATCCTGAACACCTAGGTTATTTTAGGGTTTTGGAAATATGAGTAAAGCTGTTATAAACATCTTTGTACAAGTCTTTTTAAAAATACCTTTTATTTTAGAGTAATTTTTTTAAATAAATTTATTTATTTATTTTGAATTAATTATGCTGTTACAGTTGTTCTATTCCCCCCTTCATTCCCCTCCACCCTGCCCTCCCAACCCCACCATTACCCCCCTTTAGTTTATGTCCATGTGTCTCAAGTCCTTTAGGTTCTATATTTCCCATACTATTCTTGCCCCCCCCCATCTATTTTCTATCTACTGTCTATGCTACTTGTTTTCTGTACCTTCTCCCCCCGTCTCCTCCTCCCACTCCCCTGTTGCTAACCCTCCTTGAGATCTTCATTTCTATGTTTCCACTCCTGATCTAGCTGTCCTTTTAGTTTGCTTTCGTTTTAGGTGTGGTTGTTAATAACTGTGAGTTTGTTGTCCTTTCACTGTTCATGTTTCTTTAACTTCTTTTTCTTAGATAAGTCCCTTTAACATTTCATATAATAAGGGCTTGGTGATGATGAACTCCTTGAATTTGGTCTTATCTGAGAAGCACCTTATCTGTCCTTCCGTTCTAAATGAAAGTTTTGCTGGGTAGAGCAAACTTGGTTGTAGGTCTTTAGATTTCATGACTTGGAATATTTCTTTCCAGCCCCTTCTTGCCTGTAAGGTCTCTTTTGAGAAATCTGCTGACAGCCTGATGGGGACTCCTTTGTAGGTGATTGTCCCCTTAGCTCTTGCTGCTTCCAGGATTCTTTCCTTCATTTTAATTTTGGCTAATGTAATTATGATATGCCTTGGTGTGTTTCTTCTTGAGTCCAACTTTTTTGGTACTCTCTGAGCTTCTTGGATTTCTTGGAAGTCTATTTCCTTTGCCAGATTGGGGAAATTTTCTTTTATTATTTGTTCAAATAGTTTTTCCACTGGTGGTTGTGTCTTTCCCCCTTCTGGTACCCCTATAATTCGGATATTGGAGCGTTTAAAGATGTCCTGGAGGTTCCTAAGCTTCTCCTCATTTTTCTGAATTCTTATTTCTTCATTCCTTTCTGTTTGATGATTTTTTTCTTCTTCCTTCTGGTCCACTCCATTGATTTGAGTCCCAGTTTTTTTTTCATCTCTATGGTTTTCCTGTGGA